CAGGAGGCAGTGGCTTGTTCAAAAAACCTTAAAATCCTCTTTTGCTGCTTTTCCACCAGATTTGGCATTTTATTGCCAGATTTGGTTGTTGAGTTTTTATTATTTGTATATTTAACAACTTTTATTAATTTTTTCGCACTGAAATACACTTGAATACAAAAAACTACAAAATAAAAAATTACTTAATTAAAACCACTGCAGAACTACAAAACACAAAACATCCATACACTTCTTAGATTACAGGGAAGGCTTCTAGAATCTTAGGATTTGATGAAAGGAAAGGTAGGTGGGTTGTGAAGCAAGATTTTCATGGGAATTTTTTGGGTCTCAAAGTTACATGCACATGTTTGTTTTCCTCTGGCGTCCTTAACCAAATGGTGCTCATTTTGGTATGTTTGCAAGACCTGCTCACCCTGCACAAGTTAGATGACAAAGATGTCCTTGCCCCTTAAACTGATGACGTAACAAGTGGTAGAAGAGACGTGGATCCACATGGGTGGTTATGGGCGGTTTAAGGGCAGATGTGGGTATAGAAGGGCATAAGAAGGGTCTCACAAAACAGTCTGCCCTTTCTGCTCTCAACATAGACAGTGTAACTGAAGAGAGTTAATTTATGAAGGGTAAACACCACAGGCCTTAAGTCACCCATTTTTTAACCATTTCAGATTATTATTTGCTTGGCCCCTTTGTTCTTGCTGTTATAAACATATCATTTATTTTTTTGTAATTTTATCTGTTTTACTGTAATATTTCTGCAGGTCAAAATAATGCAGCAATGGCATCAGTTCTTCTAAGTGCCCTTGGGGCTTTGACTGGGCAAGACATGTGGGAAGCTGCACAAAGTTGTCATGAAATGTTTGATAGGGGAGGCTACTTTTACAACAAAGTTTGGCATGATCTTGGTCCACTCAAACCAAACCAGCATTGTACTCTGCCATTCTTTCCTAACAAGGTCTGTAAAAAGTGATGACTTTTTTCTTTAAGCTACAGTAAAAGGGGTGGAAGCGTGAGTGGCTTAGTGGTTAACACCTCAAACTCTGGATCTGGAGGTCCGAGGTTCAAGTCTCACCCGTTGCGTTGTTTCCTTAGACAAGGAACTTTACACCACTTTGTCTCTCTTCAACCAGGTGTATAAATGGGTACTGCTGAGGGTAACCCTGTGATGGACTAACATCCCATACAGGGGGGAGTAGCAATACTTCTAGGTGCTTCATGCTAATGAAACAGGGATAAGCTCTGGCCGTTCGGACCTTTGACCCGTGTGCGCCTTTACCTTTTTACCTTTACAGTAAAACGGGGCAACAAATATGTGCAACTTGTTTTGCAACTTTGACTGCAAAATGTTGTGTTCAAACCTGTTTGACTGAAAAATCCATTTGGGTATATGAAATAATAGATGTTGTCTATTGGTCATGTTTACAAGTTAAAATGATATAATAGTAGCTGGTACTAGAGACATGATTTCAATGTTAGTTACAGGATGTTAAGATGTGAAATTGTTAATGTTAGGCTTTAGAGAGACCTTGTGATACATTTAGACATTAAAGCAAGGCAGATTTCTCATTCCTGAAAGACCCATTTTGAAAGGAAACAAGACAAACATTTATTGTAATCTTGAAAATCTCGTACTCTAGCTTCATTGGGTATACATTGCTCGTATGGGTTGCCTGTGCTTCTTAACTGCTACCAATTTTGCACCATGATTGTGAAATTCAATGACTGTGGCATTTCTTCGGTAGATTTTCGTAAGAATAGCACTTGTTCACATGTATATATACAAAATAACAATGGGTTGTTACATAACTGTAGGGCCATCACCTTTTTCTTCTGTTTGCCTTTCATTTGCCGAACAAAATGGGGAAGGTGTGTTTTAACTTGTTTGTCTACCATCCAAAACTTAATATTTGAATTATTTCTCTGCCATAGGTTTAGGATGTCTAGGGTAAACTGCTGCTTACGTGTATAAACCCTCCACACCTGGTTATAAGGCTCCCTGGTTATAAGTCTCCTCTAGCTTCTCTTTCCTTGAATTAGACTTATTATAACGTTTTGGACCTTAATTAAAAACCAGTAAATTTGCTGCTATAGCTTGTTTCCAAGTGCATTTTCAGGTATTTTTTATTCCGGTTATTATAGCTCCCTTGGATATATGCCCCTCCGTTCATAAGCCCTGCTGAAGATAAGCCCAGGGCTTATAAACAGCAGTTTACGATAGTTTGAAAGTTTGTCACTTGGTATGCTGCACAATAAGGCAGGAAGTAATGGCTTAACCCGACTAAGGCTTTTTCATGGTTTTCTTCTTCAGGTGTTTGCATACAATGCCGAAAAAGATCGCTTAGACTTGTGTCTTGGTCAGAGACACATCCAAGTTCAACCACTGGACAAAGAAACATTACAGCTAGCTCACTCTCGGCCAACTCAGGTGCCCGCAGATGAACGGTCTAGTGGTCTATCAAGTGAAGCTAGCTTCAGTGGTGCCATTGGTCACAGGGTAACATCACATTCTCGCATTGCTTTTTCAGGCGAGGGACGAACTCTTTCTAATGTCCAGCCTCCTGGAACTGGTTCTGCTGAGGTACATGTACTTTATTGTAACGTAAGATTTCTTGCCTGGTGATTTTAAAATTGCTATTTACTGTAAACGAATGCTCAGAATGACTGGGGGGAGATAACTTCTTGTTATCAGGGCTGTCATCAAGGGGCCAGGGCCCACAGTTAAACAATAACACTGATAAAGACAGCTGCTGATATTCATATTGATAAAAGTGTTTGATTTGTATTTCTCAATCTTACAAGGCCATCAAGTTTTCCACACCCTTGCCACAACCACTCACTTCCAAATGTCGCTTATACGCCCCCACCCCCTCCCTATAAACCCCCTCCCTCCCAGTTATAAAATGTAGCCTCATCTACTTCTAAACAACAACAACAACAACTACTTTCGATTATAAGTCCCCCGGATTAAATTGAATTCGATTTATTATGACATTTTCAAGCTTAATTTAACACCCGTAAATGCAAGACGCATTTTGATCAGCACTGCTACAGCTTGTTCTGAAGCACTTGTTCTATTCCAGTCAGTAGTCCCCTCGGATATAAGTTCCTCTGTTTATAAGCCCACCTAAGACCCCTTACGGAGGCCCAGGGTTTATAAGGGGCCATTCACGGTATGGGAGATTTTCAAGCCCTGAGCTGCTTTTTGTTACCTGTGAAACAAGGTACGGCTTCAGTGATCATGGCTGAGTAGAATCATTACAAATTTACTCTTCATCTATTTAATTGTTAGTCTCTCTCGTCTGGAATCCAGTTGGCTGGTCCCAGGACCTCTGAAATAGAAAATGGCAATTCTGTGTCCCTTAGCAGTAAAGAAGGACTTGCAAAAGATCAAGGTCAAACAAGTTCTTCAGAATCAGTGGTCGCTAAAGAAGGCAGCGTACAGGTAAAGGAGAATATCCAACAAATGCTTGTTGAAAGCCAAGAAGTAGTTGCTTCTGTGCCCAAAGTTCAGGGTGGTGAACCTGTGCCTGAAGTGGTGACTGAGAGTGGTATTCCTGTGACACGGCCAGTTGCGCAAATAGATGATAGTCAGTCAGAAGTGAAGCAGACTGTACAATCTGGAGGAGGTCAAAGTATTGCAACCGAAGCAGCTACTGAGATGGCAGCAGAAAATGAGAATATGGATGTAAAAATAGAGGAGAACGTCCAAGAACCTTTTGTTGGCAGTCCTGTACCTATGGTGGAAGAGCCGACCACAGACACATCAGCAGAAATGACATCAAAGCCTGTGGTATGTGAAGGCGCTGACACAGGACTGGCGATTGAGAGTTCAATGGGAATTGAGAACGTGGAAACACATCAGGATAAGGCAAAATGTGATGTGACTGATGATAATTCAACAAAAGTCACAGAACAAGGAGAAAAAGGAGAGGACCATTCAAATGATTCCAAAGAATGTATTTCCATGATGGAAACTGATCAGATTGGTACAAAGGAAGGTTACATGACTCAGGAAGTCACACCGGGTACGCTTGGTAGCCACACCCCCGGAGATAGTGCAAACGATTATAATAAAAAGGAACCTATCGTAGACCTTGCATCTGTTTCCATGGAAACTGATCATGTGACAAATAAAGAAGACAGCTTGTCTCTGCAAGTCGCACAAGGTATGTTCGGTGTCCAGGCTTCTGGCGCCATTGACAATAAAAGGGGTGGAAAAGACACTGTGGTTGATTCAAGTCAACTTGATGCAGTTGGAGATCCAACAGGCTTTCAGTCGAGTGAGAAAGCAATGACATATCCATCTGTTGTCATGGATATGGAGATTGACAATCAAGGAGAAACTAGCGAGCCTAATCCCGCATCTACCTCTAGTCTGCAGCCGCAAGATAATTATCCCTTATCAGACATTTCACTTAATACTGAGTCACTTAATAGCACAGATACAGCAAATATGAAAAGGGATGTGATACCAACAGCACCGACCGAAAAAAATGTAGATCATGATGGCGAGCCTCCGGTGCAGTGAAATAGCATAATTATAGCGGAATGTGAATGTGGCTGTAAGCCATCAGCTGACTGGGCGGTCTTCATGTTCATACAGCGCGATGTAACAAGGAGCTACTAGAGGTTTACTCGATCCCTTACTACGGATGGAAAGCAGGACGTTAAGATTTTCATCTTTCTTTTAAAATGCTAAGATTTAACGTTTTTTAGGCTTAGTAGGGTTATTACAGTGTTCTAACTTACTCAAGGATCAAGTGGCCCTGTCTACAAAGGCTCTTACTTTTAGTCGGCGGTGTCAAATCCACGCTGATACAACGTATGGAGTTGAAAAACAATCTATTAAAAGAGAACCTCAAGCACAAAATTAGAAGTTAAATACCGTTGGTTGCATCTAGGCTTTGACATGAGACAAAAAACTGGTTCTAATAGGGTGCCAGACATGGTCAACGTGTTTTGCCGCCAAACGTTTGAAGTTCGACAGCCGTTAAAGCAAACTGTCGCACCAAAGGTTAAGTTGTTTACATGTTTTTGATGAGCGCGTTCCACTCATCTCTTATTTTTTGCAATTCTCAGCAGTATTTCTCGCACAGAAACAGCACATTTGCTTTTAAGAATTATTCTTTGGAGTTTTACAACTCCAGAAATTCTTCTTAACGTTTTGCGATGAATATTTTGTTGATCGAAATCAAATCAAGTCAACAAACAGTTGTCTACGTTGCTCGTGAACATTCGCCTAACGCCAACCCAAAATTCAGCAGTTTGGTGGCAATTAGAACGTGTTTTTTCGTCATGTGTACACGCCCAGATGCAACCGACAGTTAATGGTTTGCCAACATCGTACAAGGTTTTTCGTCAGGTTATTCTTGATATGATTTGCTATAATAAGAGGCCTTTTTCAAAGTTCTAAAATTCTTCACGTTCAAAGTGAGGCCAAGTTCAAAACTTGTCACATGAAAATGAATTTATCTTAAGGAGAATAGAAAACTATTTCAGCACCTACCCTCGGTTTGAAAAAGGTGTTTGGGGTAACTTATAAATGGCAACATATTACTGTTTAACAGTAATCAATGTCCAGAGAATTAATCCAGTGTAATTGAGAAATTTAGTCGACTCAGTTGAAAGCATTGTTTTAGTCAGTGCGAATTAAGAGCGCCGATCTGGTAGATAAATGTATTGGGCGTTCATTTTTGGAACACGGACCAGTCCAACCAAGTTCCCATGATCCTCTCCAAGGAAACGAGGTTGCCCTGGTCACGCTGACTCGTCTTAGGTAGCCTGCGAGCAAGCTCTCCTATTTGGGCATGCGAAGCGAGCCTCGCGAGAACGCGCGAGCGAGGGGCCTCGCTGCTCGCTCGCGCGTTCTCGCGAGACTCGTTTCACTCGCCCAAATAGGAGAGCTTGCTCGCGAACTACGTCGTAAACGCCTTGACTACGTGGAAAACAAAGAGCGCGAGGTGTCTTGGGAATTATGCAATACATTCAGCGCGTTATGGAGCTCACTTTACCTTCATATGAATCAAACATTTTTAAGATTCTCCATGTACAAAAAAGGCTATAACGTATAGTAGGTTTATACTCTCTGGGAATAATGGCTGTAGCTGTCTTCTTAAAGAGACAGTGCTATCATAATGTCATGTTTTTTGTTATCAAATGCCCTTAAGAGTGATTTTGTAATTGCTTTGGTTTTACATTGCCACAGTCAGAATTGAACGCTGGTGGTTTTATGTTTTACTGCTAAATTGAAATTTACTGTTATTTTTCTTTGTAGTAAGGAAACATGTGTTTACCCAAGAGATCATTTGAGGACTATTATAATCTCTTGGTTTACCTAAACTCTAATCACCATTTTCAGTGCTCACTCCCATATGAGAGATCACTTTGTGTAGGCATAACGGTTTTTAGTATGGAAACAGTCATTGTTCACCTTGTTTTCCAGGCTTTTATCACTCTAGGGTACTTTTCCCATTTCTCGGTTGAAAGAAAAACTCAACCAGGACTCTGTTATTCGTTATGTCGAAGTTCTTACCGGTTGATACCGTATCCTCAGTATGCTTCTGCACTCGAGGAGAAAAAAGTCGATTGAATCTAAGTGGTCTACGTAGCAAGCGTTTCCGTGCGGTTTAGGAGCAAAGAACGACGAACGAGAGTCAAAGACCGCGCCAAAATAGCGGAAGTTTCATTACTCGCGTGGGCAAAACCGAAAATCCCGTTCCTTGGTCTTTCTTTGCTATGAAACCAAACGGAAACTCTTGCTACGCAGGCTAAAGTCTAAGGGTTACAGGCTTGACGATTTTAGGCCCTATAACCCCCAGGCCAGTTTGTGCCTAGCCTGTTCCAGGCTCTCAGATAGTGGGGAAGACGCGAAAGAAAAAGGCACGCGAAAAGTTTTACTTTCCTCTTCGCTCTTTCTCAATTCAGCCGGCCTAACTATCTCGGAGCCTGGAACAGGCTAGTTTGCGCCATCCGAGTAAGCAGAGGAGGCTTAGAACCCAGCGAGAATGGCGTATTCTCCTGACATGCTTGACAGGTGACGTCACAGTCTCGGAAGTAGACTGTATAACGCAAGTGTTCCTTGAGAGCAACACTCTTTTCATTGGCACGCAAGTTTTACTTGAAAAAGAAAATCTTAGCAAGTTTTTCCCTTTATACTACCAAGGAGGGCTTGCCCGTGCAATTGTTTCCATTAACTCTATGATGTTTAGAAACTGACAAGTACGCTATAGAACTGGATCAAGTTTAATAAAAGATATATTTTATGACTTTTTGAAATATTTTCTCTTGTGCGCTGGTACTTAGCGCTAGGCCAAATAGCGCTAACCCAAAGTTAACTTTTAACCCGGGTTTCTGTTTCTTTTGTTCAAAAGCATTTTTCCCGGAGAGTTTTCTCTATTCTTTTTAGAGAATCCAATCATCAAACTGTAGACAGAAAGATTAAAACTGAATTTGCTTTTTAATCCTTCGTACTTGAATTCAAATTTCCCACCAACCGTGTGTTATCTAACCCTGCTCTGAACAACCCGGTCCTGTCTATTAAAGTTTACTGTGTATAGTATAGAGCGCTCACTTTATTTGATAGGATTTTTTTGTCACGCTTTCCAGTTCCCTTTTATAGTTTGCCGACGAATTGATCGACAAACCAATGAACGCTATGAACAGAAGAAGATACCATTTGCCAGTCGAAACTTACTTCTCGTTGTCCTGTGATTTACGCAAATTGAGGCGGAGTTTTTGTTTTTCAGTTTGATTTATATTTTCTTGCTACGATCAGCGAACAGAAAACCGCCGTGATGGGATCATTTAGTTCAAAGATGCTCGTTTCTTCGTCTCAGAGCACTGAGAATGACCGAAAACTCTCCAAAAGAGACGCAAATCCAAGCGGAACGGCAGGGAACTTAAAATCTCAAGCTCGATCGGAAGCGACGAATGAAGACAAGGCGAGAGCTGGCAGCACGAACCAGGAACAACCCAGCGAGGCGAAAAAGAGGCCGTCATTTTCATGGCTGGTAGAAACACCTGTAGTTTTACACACGAGCTCAAAAGAACAAGACGACAAAGGGAAAAAAGCGGCCGCAGACGGCAAAGGAAAGGTTAACAATATTGGGGTACAAAGCGATGACAAATATCTAAAATCGGTGGAGTTGCCTTCGACATCAAACGGTAAATCGAAATGTGTTCATTACCAAGACAATTCGACATCTTGTTCCCCAGAAAAGCAAGGGAAATACGAGAGTAATAACTCATGGAATACCGAAGGAATCATGGCGAAAAGCACTTACCAAATGAACCAAGACCCGAGAAGTAATGATGATGCGACGGCAAGTTACCCTGTTGGTTTTGGCGTGGTTGGCAAAAATGATAGTCGAGTCGGCTCGCGGACAACCAAATAGCGATAGTCATGTACAGCTCATTTCAACTTGAGTGAAGAGCGTTGTTAGAATGTAGTTGGAGATGTGTGTAATATTTTGTTTAAATTCATTTTTAATACCTCTGATGCAAATTGACTTAAATTTACCATTTTTCGGTTACAGTTTCGATATTTGGTGCGTTTTTCCGTTTAATATTTCCTGCGAATTTTGCAACAAAAATCTATTCACTGAATTTTCTCAATAAGGACAGTTATTTCAGAACATAAATCAAGGAAATAACGCAAAATAACTCCTTTTATGCATCCACTCGTTTATATCTTTATGTTTGAAATCCAGACATGGTTTGTCCCCCTGTAAATTCGTTTAATTTTTCCGTAACTAACTCAGTGGCACGCACGCTCCCGCTTTGTACGTGTCAAGGTTATAACTGACATTACTTTGTAAGAATGAAAGAAAAACTAAGTTGCTTAGTATGTATGCCAAAAACAGGTCAGTAAATTACTCTCGAAGACACTGGCAAAATAACAAAACTCAGACATGCCTTTTAAAGTTTAAATCCCTTATTGTTATTATGAATTAACACAACGGATATGTTAGAGAACGGTTTTTTTTCTCCTCTTGCCTTCATAGTTCTTCAAGACAGTAAATGTTTCAGATTTTTTTTTTCTTTAGAAATATCTGTCATGAAATAAAATAGGATGAGTGTTAAGACTTACTGGGAAAAATGAAAAACGTTAGACTTGAAGCTGATTGGTCAATAGCTTCTCAAATAAACGCGTATAGCCTATTAAACTCCCGGCCCCCACCCCCTAAGCTTTTAAGTTTTATTAGACGCTCTTCTCAAATAAACGACCCCTTTCTAGTAATAGTCCTGCATGAAAGTTGCTCCAAATACTAGGAAATGCCATAAAATTCCGAAAATAAGCCCCGGGGCTTATATTTTTCAAAGGCCCTTTTTGAGGGGCTTATTTTTCGAGGGGTTTATATTCGGAGGGGCTTATCTACTGAGGGAAATTTGCGTTTCAAAATCGATTGAGCTAGCCTTATAGTTGGAAGGAAATTTACTGTTTTTGCTTCGTTTTACTTTGTATTTGAGGGCAACTTTCCAAGAACAAGCGCGCAGGGGGCTTATATTTGGAAGGGCGATTTAACGGAGGGTTTTTTGCGTTACCGGTTTGGGGGCTTATATTTGGAGGGGCTTAAACATGGAGGGGCTTATTTGATTAACAAGAGTTTGTTCAACGTCAAGTTCAAAGAAATGATTCATTGATCGAAGTTGAGCTTCTATTGAGTTTTTCATGAAAATTACATTAGATCGTGTATTAGCTAAACAGTTGGAAGAAAGAAATATTAACGCAACATCACTACTGGCAACGGTTTTCTAGTTCAGCATAACACGTTAGGCCCGTCTAGACTCCTATAACCAAATGGTGGCTGTGTGGCCATTGGAGGGAGACGAGCCATATGAAATGCTTCCCGTATATGGGCATCATGTTCGCTTCGCTTTTTTCATTCACGTAAATTGAAACACCCACTGACGTTACCCGTTTTTAAGAATCTCTGATTGGTCAATCGAACGGGACCTCTCACTTCATACAAGACAAAATGTTTTTCGCTTTGTTTTCTCAACATAGAAAACCTAAGCATTCAGTTGTTCAAAAACTGTGCTTTGGCCATATGAAACTTACGGCCTACGAACTGGCGTTTGGACGTGTACAATGAAAGAGTTATATGCTAAATTCCTGATACAGAAGCAAGCTTCCAATCGTTTGCTTGCCTTATTCACGTAAATCAAAACACCCTCTGACGTCACCCGATTTAAAGCATCTCAGATTGGCCAATCGAACGCGACTTCTCTTTTCATACGAGATAACATATTTTCCGTCTTTTTTTTCAACAAAAAAAACTGTACTTTATCTATAACTGATATCATGAAACTTACGGCTACGAACTGGAATTTGGACATGTAGTGAAAGAAGTATATGCTGAATTGCTGATAACAAGCTCCCAAGCTACGCACTCTTGACTTCCTCAAAGCCAATTCATACCTGCACCTTTGTGCGATTAAATGAAATTTGCATCATTGATCTTTGAAAATCAGCGACTGCCAATGATCATCCAATAATCTCGGCGATTGGGGTTTTGGTTACTGAAGATTCTGCAATTCCTTGATTTATCCGCCAGCGAAAAGCACGTTTGTTGTTTAATTTATTGTAACGAGCAAAATGGGATCCATTAACTCGAAGGCAGTGGTTCAGCATAACCAAAAGCTTTCAAAAAAGACCCAAAGCAAAACTACAAACAAGGCGGAGGGAAAATTGGCCGCGAACATACAGAAAAAGGTCCAAAACGACCGAAAAGGTAATCACAGTCAACAGAGCTCAAACAAGGAATGCAAGAGTGATAACAGCGATCGGCCGAAATTGAGTCAGACAAAACGCAAGACAAAATGTTCGTCAAACCTGCCTCAGTTCACGTGGTTAGTATCTAGTGTGGTGGAGGATGATTTCAAAAAGATCAGCAAGATAGACAGAAAGAGCTGTCATCCAAAATCTCCTGTTTTGTCGCTAAGGGGACAAACAAGCAAAGATGAACTGACATCGCCAATTGATCTAGTTAGTGCTCGCCCCAAGACCAACAACAGCATCGAAAACTCGCCTCCCAAAAACCACTGCTCCAAAAATCTTTGCTCAGTCCAGAGCATCGCACTGGCACCGACTCGAACTAGCGATACGAGTCTTGTTTCTTCAAACAGCAGCGCCTCTGACTCCGATGACTCTGGTACTACCCCCGAAAAATATGATCCGCGCCTGATGTCTGGGTCCGTTGGGTTTGGTGTGTTAACATCAACAACGTATGTGGAAAACTACGTAACGGGACGAAGTACAAATGTCCATGGCAAATGAAGAAAAAAAGAAACAATCCATAATAAAAAGGTGATCTTTGTTCTATATCCGCGAAGTTTGAAAAATTTTAATTTTATCGTGAAATTATCAAACTGTACCTTGTAGAGATTTTAGCCATATGGCAGGTGTAGTGTTAACACCATTATTGAATTTTTGTTGGGTCAAACGTCATTTTCTAATAGCTTCTCTGACCGCTTTCGTTTGTTTCAATTGTGTTTTATTTCTTTTTATCAAAATTAAGTTAAGGGAGCTGGAAATTCCGTATAGGCAGAGTGTGTTGAGATTTCAAGAAAGTCAGTGGCTGGAAAATCCTTTCGAGCAATGAATTTATCTTTTTAAAAATGTGTAATTTATCAATAAATGTTCAGTGCAAGTAATATTTTTTTTCAAAAAAATATTTTGTTCTAACTAACAAACGACCTTCAGTAAGAACTCATGCAGAGGAACATCAAGCCAGCTACGCTTCAGGAACGATCACTAAAGCTACGTTAACACAGCACCGGACGAAATTTTCGGCCGGCTGAAAAATTTGACTGGACACTTCGATTCGTTCACAACGGACCGTTCAATAATTTTGTTCATAAGGAACTTTGAACCGCTAGACGTCTAAATTTTCGTACGGTTAAGGGGGTTCCATTTAACAGCAACAGCAACAACGGTATCATCAGTTCAGCGAGCTCAAAATCTTCAAACGTTTTCAAATCTTTGTATCCAAAATTTCTTTCATTACCTTCTCCATTTTGCAATCGCCATTCACGTTCGAAATTAAACTTAGCAGGAAGGAGTTTAAAACTCCTGTTGTTCAGCTATGCAGCGGATAGACCGTATGGAGTGAAACGTGATTAAAGAGATAGATTAGATTTCTTTCTTCCTATTTTCCCCCAAACTTCGAAGTCAGCAGAGTCAGGTGAAATTTGTATCTAGGGGAATAACGATATAACGGTACAAAGCACACATGTACCGTAATGGAAGTCAGAAGGCACCTTGAAAAACAGTGAAAAAGTTATGTGGTTGTACAAGTCCATTCGAAATATAGCTGCTGTATAAATTAGTTTGATTCAGAGAGCAATGTTTTCTTGATCAACGCACACGATGAACATGGTCATCAAGTCACAAGCATGGGCCAAAGATAATTTGAATACTCAATTGGCCATTTCCGAGTTCCAAAAACTCTTGCTTTCAAAGCTAGGCTAAGTGAAAAACCTTTCTTGTGAAAATGAGTTTATTTGCATGAGAATAAAAAAAATCCTTTTAATATCAGTGGCTTCGAACTTAGCCTCGCTTTGAAACAAAGGCTTAGTGCAACTCGGAAATGGCCTGTTTGCCATTGAGGTTGCGCTAGAGACAGGGTCGGTGTTGCGTCCAATAGGCCACTTCCGAAATCCAAAAACACTCACTTTCAAAATGAGGCTAGCTAGGTGCACAACCTTTCTTGTGAAAGTGAGTTTTATTTGAATGAGAATGAAAAAACCATTTCCATATCGAAGGCTGAGCACCTACCCTCGCTTTGAAACAGAGGCCAGGGGGAACTCGGAAATGGCCTATTACACTATGAAACATGGGACTGAACAAGAACAGGCAATGAAAACTGCTTTAAACTACTGCACACATAAATTTCATTCTCATTGGACTGTTTTGCATTCCTCTTTAGTTATATTTCGACCACATGTTGACATTTTTTCGTTATACGAGGTATATTTTACGTTTGCGTTTCTGGATCGTGTTCGTCGTAACGAGGATTTCGTTCAATCGAGGTACGTTATATCGAGGATTTTACTGTAATTTTAGCCGGGTTAAGGAAAATCGTTCGTTATACCGAGGACTTTGTTATTTAGAGGTTTGTTAAATCGACGTTCCACTGTACAGTGGAACCGCGGTAACTCGAACTCTGAAGGGAAACGAACAACAGGGTAACTTTCAGGGAAATTTTGATCAAGGGAAAGAAAATTTAGTTCGATTTAGTGTAGCCTGTTCACATACCCTCTATTTTCTCTTCAAAGTCCGTCGAGCGCGCGTGATAAAAATAAACACCGTGGGGGAAATATTGACCGCAAGCGCTTTCTCTCGCTCGCCGATATTTTCGAAAAGAACGAAAAGAAGTATAAAACAACGGCTGTGTACAAGCTAGAGTGGGGAATTCAAGTTATCCGAGTAGACTGAGAGACGACTGGGGACTAGTCAGCACCCGACCGGCAGCAACTGCCTTCTCAGAATCAAGTGAAACCAAAACTGGGTTATTTTTAAGTTTCTTTATTGACATTTCCCGGGTAGTTATCATATCGATTCTTTATGCTATCACTTAAATTATAGTTAAATAAACGTTTTACAGTATTTCCTTAAGGCATATTGAGTGTGCATTTATGCCGTGTAGAAGTCTTTAGTCAAATATTTAACATCTGACAAAGTAATCTTACATCGTATGAACGTTTCATTGTGCCGCTCATTGCTTCACAATGGAAAAACAGGTGTTTTTAACCTTTCTCTTCAGATAATTATTCACGTTAGTTGTGGAGCAGATCGTGCGACTCCCACTCGACAAAGTTTTGACATCTATTGGACAATTTTTCTTAGCCAATTTTGGTCAACTTTGATGGGTGTAGCCTGCGAAAACATCCGTTTCGCGCGAAACGTCCTCAGCGACGAAGAGCGAGGAGAAACGGATGTTTTCGCAGACTATGATGGGTGCCATCCACTGCAGAACTAATTAAAACTTAAGATATGTTTTGAAGGTGTAGTCGCCGTGCATTTGAAAGGCTTCGTTTGCCGCAGGACACCCACAAAATATCTATGGTGAATTGCGATTGGTTCGGTATAATGCGCAACTATAAAAGCTTAGGAAAAAACATGTCCAAACGGTGTGGTAAGAAACTTTGTCAGCACGATCTTCACCATTTTTTGGCAAATGAATACATCCACCTAGAACGGTGGTTATTTGACTGACCAAAAACGGATCGACAGGCACGAAACAAATAAATGTTAGCACCTCAATCCATATACTAAATTAAAAAAACGATACTGGTTCTGCATTCACCACAACATACTGTATGCAGCTAATTTTTCTTTTGCTGGAAATGAATTTTAAAAAAATAAATAAGCAGTCTTACAAGGTGATTTGCATTGTTATTGCAATTTCTGTTCGAATCTTACATTGAATAACCGTACATTTTAATGCAAGCTGCCATATTTCATCCCTTAACATTCTTTCATATGTTACTAACATAAATTCTCAACAGTTAAGTTATTTTCACTTTTTTAATTACGATTCACCAAAGGCGTCACTAATCTTGGTTAAATGTCTGATGGCTAGGTCTTCAGGTAGATGAAAGTTGTACTCGTTTAATCGTTCCAAGTGTTCTGTGGCTTCGCTCATTCCTAAGAAAATAGACAAGGCAGTATTTACTGGCATTAAGGCAGTATTAAGAACTATAAAGGGTATTTGTGAAATGATGACAGTCTCTTAGTAAACGTTAGCCCGCGTAGCTGGCGGTTTTTTGGCGTGCTTTTACTGTTGTGTCTCGTAAAGTAAGAGATAGAACCGCGCGAAAGCTGAACCGAGATCGAAACAGAAAATGACGGGGAGGAGGCGAGGGGAGAAGGCATGAGTTTTTTGCCTTCTCCCCCCGCCCTCTCCCCCACCGTTTTGTTTCGACTTTGGTTCAGCTTTCGCGCCGCTGTATCTCTTCCTTTACAAAACACAAACAACCGCCAGCTACGCACGTTAAGTAAACGTTTGTGTTCTCGGGTTGTGAGCAACGCAAAAAGAAAACAAATATGTGCAAAGTGCGACTGCTGCTGGTTAAATACTTTACTGGCGCAGAGCCTACGAAAAAGCTCTTCATTTCATGTGGCGAGAGAACGCGCGAGCTATAGTCTCCTATCGCGTGCTGGTCGCGTGTGTCAGCTTGCGATGACTCCCAAAAGAAGAGCTTACTCGCAGGCTCAATGACACAAAAAAGAAGTAACAAGACAAACCTGTTTTGAGAACGTATGACCACGATTGATAGTGCTCTTCGATGAGTGAAGAACTCTTTGTAACGAGACGGCACCAATACGTCAGGCGTTTTTGACTTCAAGAAACAACAACAAAAAAAGGACGATCAATACACACAAAGGCAATTTTAAGAAGAAAGCTGTTGTTCTAAAGCTTTAGTATAGTTCTGCATAGCTTATTTCGGAGACTACATCCAATAGTAATGAAAAGTACTGGTACGTAAAAAGTAACAACATAACTTACTTTATTCCCGCGCAAACCAGGGATTTAAACTACAAAACAATGAAAGGAGATAATAGATTGTTAGCTTGCAAGAATAGCATTGAAGTTTGCTAAAGCAACACTGAACATGTGTGAAACTATAAGGAATGATGAGTTTAATTATATTGTCTCTAAACGAACGTACAATTCCTACCAAATGAAGAGTAAATTGGGTACTTTAATGACAACGATACAGTTCCTCTCGCTCAAACAAACAGTACAAACTGTTCACTGCCTTAATTAAAAATACATTTGTAGATAACAGCGAAAAACAAAATCGGCAAATATTTATGAAAGTGGAACTCTAGAACAGGAATAGTGCGAAATGGCAAGGCTCATTCGGAAACACTCCTTCTCATTTTAACAGTTTACAAAGACCAGTAAATAAGTGTCATATTTACCATCGCATCCATACTGCGTTTGCAGGGTTCGTGTGTTGTTTTTATTCTGTGTAGGGTTCGCAAGAGGGTCTGGAACATAAATGATGTATGATGATGGTATCAGTCGAAAGAGGTCAACAAAAGCAAATAACATTGACCTTCATAGAGTGGCCTGTTAACTGACCCTCTCTTTTCTCTTTGGAGATAGTAGAGCGCGGGTCTGAAATTATAAACCGTGAAGGATTTATTGACCGCAAGCGCAAAGAGGTGGGGGTGGGGAAAGGAGAAAATAGACGCCTTTTTTTTCTCTCGCGCTCGTTCCGTTTCGCGTTCACTAAATTGTCGATAAAAAAGAACGTCTGTGAACAGGTTATTATAGAGCTACAAATAATAGTCAGTCAACAGGCAATGGCTGAATTAAAAATTTTAAATAAAGTCACCCTTTGGACAAAATTAATACTTATATCACCCCAAAGCAATTTGTTCTCTTCTCAATTTTCGCTCACACGAAAACACGCAACTGAAACCGAGCGCGGGAAAACATGGAACTGGGCCCACGCAAGGGACAACGGCGAGTGTGACTACACGTGGAAAAAAAATGCCACCGGAAACGAAAACAAGCAACATGCAAAAAAACTGGTAAAGATAAGGGCTTGAAGACACTCGGTGATGTTTCACATCACCATGTAAAACATTAAGTGAAATGCGATTGCAAATAATTGTTTCTAATATAAAGTACCCATGGTCAGAGTCACGTGCATTTCTGGACATATGAAGCAAAAGAGATTTCAGGTTATGTCTACACCTTCTGTAACGGATAACTTTTCATGCCTAAATGCATATGTATCCAGTGCAGTGTTAGCCTGTTGCAGGCTCTCAGATAGTACGGATGACGCGTAAGTGTAAAGCACGCGAAAATGTAAGCACGTGGTCTCTTTCATTTTCGCGGACCCGACTTTCTCGGAGCCTGGAACAGATTAGTACAGTGTGAAAGGCAACAGTACAGAACTGGGACAAGTCGTTCACTCACAACGAGCATCGTACCCGAGCGGTTGGCCGAGAGGGTTTGGTGAAATAAATCCCAGTCCCCACTCCTGAATAGCTACCTCCGTCTTAGTGGGTTTCAGCCTTCGCTCCTACTCAATTTACTTCTGCTACGGTCCGAATTCTTGGATAGCTGTTCTCACTATTCCCCCCCCCCCGCCCCTGCAAAAAAACTATCCGATATGTGATGATCCACTTTCAAGAATGGCGCGGCGCAGCATTGCTCCGTTACAGAAATCGCGCTAAAATTACCCTTGTTATGTGAACAGAAGCGGCCCTATCACGTGGTATGGTTCCGCGTCGGCGCAAAAGCTATTCGGCATGGTGTGAGCAAAGCCTCACTCTCTGAATCTCGATCATCTACAAAACGCCATGTTATATCACGTATCAATAACATTACCTGTTTGGCTGTCACTACGTTATTGCCGTGTACCTCGATACCAAACGCCTCTGATAACCTTCTGGCAGGAGTAGAGTTAAATTCTTCACCGCGCTAAAACCAAAAATACACAATCAAACAACTATGCTGCCACAGCTCACTAAAAAGCGAACATCAGAGTCGATAACAACAACGAGTTATTCATATCCTTTTACAGAGATGAAATCTTACTATTATTTAGCGGGTTTCCTCATTTTTTTTTTTTTGCAAGAACGTCTGCGAAACTCCCTGATTCTTAAGTTTGATATTTTACTTCCAAAGCAAATACTGAACTACACCTTAAACTGCAGCCCCATCCCACCCCCCACCCCCACACCACTCTACCCCACCGCTCATCTTCTCACCCACCCTTCAACATAAATCCTTTTACAATTGTAAAATTTTCTATTATTTAATCGGCTTCCCCTATTTTTTTTTTTTTGCAACAACGTACTCGAAACCCCCTAATTATTAAATTTGAAATTTTACCTCCAAAACAAAAACTGACATAAACCCTAAACCGCAACCCCAACCCCCCCCCCCCCCACTTATAACCCTGCCCCCTGGGTTATGTGCCCATCTACCTGTAAACAAAAAAACTTGACCTAATTAAAAGCTCCCCAGATATAAGCCCCCTCCAAATGTATTGAAATGAATTCGAGTCATTATTGGTATAACGTTTTGAAGCTTAATTCAAAACCCAGTTAAAGCAAAACGTAGTTTGACAAGCACTGCTATAGCCCGAAGCAGGTTTTCTATACCAGCTATAAGCCCCCTTGGATATAAGCCCCTCCGTTTACGATCCTTTCTAAAACGGCCCCTTACAAAGATGTGTAAGTCCACGGCTTATAGCTTGTATTAGCAGCAGCTTGCGGTAAAGCTGGTAACTTTCGAGTTTTGCCACTGCCACTCATAGTTCATGTCCTAGGTTCAGTGACTCGGTAACTGTTACCCCGGAAACGCTAGTGAACACTTTGGAAAATGAGCACGACCATAAAAATCTAAAATTTTCCAGGTTGAATTTTTATTCAGTTAGGGAACAGTTTGGAGTAAAGGACTTGCACGTGAAGTATGAGCTACACTATACTGACCTTCATTGCGTAATATTCATTAAACAATTCCCAGATATGCATTCGTTTAGGAAGGGACGTTCTTGTTGTAGGAACGATACACGCCACAAGTGACTTGGACGACATGATACGGTTGTCTACGGACTAAATAAATAACAAAATGCAATCCATTACCTACGGTGCACGTGAATTCAAATACAGTTAAAACGATTTATACAATAACCGACTGGGTTCACCACATTTTCAGCATGCTTACAGGGGTAAGGGTTTATCAGTTAGCTGTACTAGGAAGAGAACATTGGATAGAGGACTAATCGAAGGATAAACGGCAACAAAACTAATTCACGGTTATCTTGATCTAGTAAACCTGCGAATACAACCGCTTCTCCTCGCTTGTCGCCACTAGGGGCACTCCCGCGAAAAGTCCATAGCGGCGAAGAGCAAGAAGTCGTAGGCTATGATCCAATGGAAAGTAAAATTCATATTTACAACAAATGTCTGCCTGAAATTTTTTCTATAATTAGGTGTACATGATTGGCAAAATTACCATTTTTGTCTTAAATGGATAAGGTTTTCGTAGGACAGGTCACAGACTGTTGCACATGACTTCGCCTGTTTGTGACAGAGTAAGCCTCGGAAACTTCGCTGTTCACCTTTTACACTCACCCTAACAAGTCCATGCTGAAAGAGCGCCTTCAGTGCCATTGCTAAATCCTTTCTAACAACATTCACCAACTCCGCATCTCTGGCGTAATCAAACTGAATTGAACACAACATACAAGGAATTAGTTCTTAGAGGCTTTCAAATTGAATGGAAATGAACAAGTATAGGTATCTCACGCTTTAAAATAGAGGCACAAGCATTATGCAGTTAAGACGGGTTCTTGGAACTACATCCTAAATAAGTAGTACTATGTGAAAAATCACAGCTGAAGAATTTTCATTTGAATAGTCACACTATAGGATCTTCATCCACAGACTCAAAAAGTTAGATCTACATACTAGGGGTCCGTTTAAATGGAGAAAACCTGCCCCGGATAGAAAAGTCACCCTCCCATCCGAGCCAACTTCTGCGAGCGTTTATAATGAGAAAGAAAGTTAACCCCTTTGCCTGAGCCAACAATGCTCGATCATGCTCTGATTGTCTGGCCTTGACCGAGTTAACCCGGCTGGGCGAGCTGAAGTGTTTACATGGCAAAAGTTGACAAAAGGGTGACCCGGGGGAGTCAACTTTTTGTTTCTCATGAACGGTTCGCCGCGTTTTGCGAGGAAATGTATGAAAAGTTGACTCGTCCAGGGGTGGCTCGGGTAGGCAGGTGACCCTTCTCACAGGGACAACTTTTCTCCACGTAAATGGGTCCTAAATGCCATGTTCCATTTGAATGGACACACATGTTAGACTCAAAAGTTAGATCAGTACAGTACCTCTGCAAGAGAAAGGACTACACAAGCTTACCCTATCACTGCTTTCTGACAAAGTGGTGTCAGCAGAAGACACAGAACTAGTGCGGATTCTCTCTCGTCTTTTTATGTCCCTAGGAGACTGGAGAGACTCTTCACTATCGCTTGGAGGCTCACGTGATTTTATATCGATTATTTTGAGGACAGCTTGCTGAAGCTGAGCCAGGTGCTCACTGAAAGGAAAATAAGTGAATCTAAGCTCAAAACTTTGATCTCTGTATTTTTGTCCCTTAGTTCACAATAACCGCTTTGGGGTTGTGCGGGATGCGCGTCGGAAAATTAGACTTGAACCCCTAAAGGAGACTAGTGTGGGCGAGGCTGGTATCCGGTCACTTCGTTCCATGGATAGTTCAAAGCCAGATCGTTCCACAATAAAGTCAGAACTTTTCACAAGTCTTTAATCCAAGAGCAAAAGTAAGGGTGCTACTCATGAGTATACCTCGCTCTTTAACCATAAGCCAAAAAAAAGCGCGCTTCCCATCGAGTTTTACACTAAAACTATGGAACGATCTAACCAAAAAGTCTGGGCGAACTGTCATAGGGCGAATCGACCTTCGGGCGAAATGACCCGATACCATGATGAGGTAGAGTTTCCAAACTGGAAAAAAAAGGAAGACAAAAACTGGGTCACTTACAAGTATCCAGGCATAGCAACAGATGTAGCTTTCTGTATAATCTGGTCTTGTATCTGTTTTCCAGTACAACCAAACTGACTGAAAACATAAACACAGAACATTGATCAGCGAAATGTAAAACACAAACAGTCAGCAACTTACATGATAACAGACCTTGACGCCTCACAATCGATATCGTTAAAGTAATTCAGCCTCACCTTATTGCAAACAACTGCAAAATAGCAAGTGCTCTTTTGATTATTGCAACACTTGCATCACGAATTCTCTGGAATAAAGGGAAAAGAAAAAATATAATAACAAATAATAAGTATTATTTGTAGTGAAGGACTCTCTTCACAGAATTATATGCATTACCATCGCCCGTCTTCAGTCACAATAATACATTACTAAATGAAATGATAACCCAAAACCAAGGAAAATTAAACTCAAACTAAGGATATAATTGGACCTGGCGGCATACCGGTATATACAAACTTGATAAAGCCAATCAAAAAATGAATCGCCATTAGGAACAGAGTCCTATTTAACAATTACTTGGGCGGGTTTTATCGAGCTGTCCCGAGTTCTTCAGCTGTCATGACATCTGACAATACAATGACTGATGAGGAGTAGTCTAGTCAGATGATGGCTGCTGATAAACCTGCAAGGACTGTCACTAAGATTTCAAGTTGCCAGGTATATGCAGTTAGTAGGTGGGGAACTGAACAACCAGGGAGTTCTTTTGGTCTCATTCTCCTTGTGTTTCTAACGAAAATAGCGGGCTCATGCTCATAGGGTAAGTAGCCAGGGGAAATCCCCAGCCACCGAGCCTTAGTGACTGCACTGCTGCATGGCAGGCGTTAAAAGGGAAAGGGGAGGGCATTTGGTGCGCGCGAGAGCGCAAGGGGCACGTGAGGAGGGGGATAGTTCCCTTTCCTTGCATGCCAAAAGTTACCCCTTTCCATTCCACTTTTAAAGCCTGCCATGCAGGTTAGCAAGGCAGGCACTCAAGATGGAAGAGGAAACAGAAAAGTGAGACGCCCATTGCATTCTCATACATGCACCTGTATTTACCCTTTTTACACACAAACTAACTCTTTGAGGTACCTCACCGTTATTTTTCTTTCCTGTACGTTCCAGACATTCAGATAGTAGGGTACGGCAGTCAGATGGTGGGGAGCAAGTTAACACCCAGAACAGCCTATATGACAGCAGCAAATATGACTCACCTGATTGCGGACCTGTTCAGGTGTGTCTGGGATGGGTGGTACATGAAGACAGCAGCCATTTCCTTCTTCACCAGACAGATTCTCTGAAAAGCTGTAGTCACAGGTGTAGTCTAAATCATTTACACTGTCAGTTGAGTGGTCTGTGGATTTACGAGCACCACCTTTGCCCTAAAAATAACGTCAATATGCAGAATGATGTACATTAGACACATTAGACACAATGATTCCCATGACCAAGCTGTCAAAACGATTGTCAATAAACTTCATAGTAAGTCACCTTAAACGACCTGCAAAGTATAAACAGTGTTTTTTCGAGTTAAATTGTTGTTGTTGTTTTCACAGAACCTTTTTCCCTAGAATCAGAGACTCCTTCCATTTTATTAAATAATTTTTTAACATAAACATTCTGCTGTTTCCCCTTAGCCCAAAAACAGTGGAAAGGAGATTCTACAATCAGGGAAGTTATTGGATGATTATGTTGCTGATTTTGCTGAACTCTGAAATTGAACAACAAGGCTTCCCCTCCCTCAAAAAACTATCAGAAAAATCTACATATTTTTCTGAGGCTATACTTTCTAATTTCCCTTCAAAATTTTATTGCTTTCCTAAAGTCCCAAAGACATTGATACATGTATATGAAATAATTATAACTGGGGATTTCCTGGACATGGAAATACAAAACGAGTCTGCCCTATCTCTGACCATGAATGATAGCTTTGTGGAAAAACTCTTTCTTATCAATATCCATCTACTTACCTTGAGTCGATCTTTGTGTGACTTTCTGTTACGTCTTGCATGCACAGGACATGGACATGCTTTGGCTCTTTCGGTTCTCTCTTCAGCATTTTCAACTTCACCTGCAATACAAGTAAGTCACTATTATTTCTATAGTATAATATTATTCAAAGAGCTATCATACAAGAAAAAATGAGACATCTTACAAAGGTGCATCTGAAATAAAATACATTTACACGTTAATTAAGACTTGAACTCCACCATTAATAAAAGCGTTAATTTTAAGGTGTGCAAGTGCCCTTTCATTTTTTCAGGTGTAAAGTTATTACTGCTTGTGTGCAATTTACCTGTGAATTGTGGAGGACCAACTTTTACATGATGTAATTCTATTTTATGTACAGAACTGACATTAAAGTCGTTAAATTTTGGTAGAGAAGGTAAATCTATAGTGTACCTCCATGAAACAAAGCAATCAAGCACTATTTTTTGTTGAACTTTGATTCAAAGTATCTCAATAACAGGAATTTTGTTAGCCTGAGAAAACAGCCAACATTTGGCGATGCTAACAATGGTTTCCCCGCCAAATGACGTCTGAGAAATGAGCACAGAAGTTCCATACTGGTGACACGTCACTACTCAGATCTGGGTAGTGCTTCTGATTGGTTGTGCCGCTGGGTAGTGACGCGTCATCAGTATGGAATTTCTGTGCTCGTTTCTCAGACGTCATTTGAAGGGGAAACCAATGATTGGTAGCTTCGCCAAATGTCGGCTGTTTTCTCAGACTAGAATTTTGTCCACACTTAAATCTTCACATTTACTGTATGAGTGGATTATATGCCTGGAGATGCATCTGATTAATATTGAGCAAAAGCAAGCAATGTCAAAAAGACAGCTGTATTTAAATAAAAAAGTGATAATACACAACATAGTAATCAATTCACTGAGAATACATGTAAATCACCTTGCAAAAATGTGACAAATCTCTCCAAATCTGCAATTTGAGTAGTGAGTTGCTTAACAAGTTCCTCCTAAAAGGTATGGTTGGAAACAATGAAAAAAACATTAAATTTTGGAACTTCTTAATATTACATGTGTAAAAACCAAAGTAAATGGAAAACAAATAATGTCACAATCAGGGCTGTCAAAAAGCTTTATAGTAGCAGGCTAATACTGAATAGTAGCTGGCTTTGAACCTTGCACTAAACAAGTTTGCAAGGGCAGGAAGCCAAGGCTTCTAGGAGGGTCTGCGGACTACATCCTTCCCCAGAAAATTTTTGAAATTGGGAGTCTTGGAAATGGTACTTAAAGTGGTTTTCAAAGGCTGTTTTTCAACGAACAAATGTGCTTGTCAATGCTTACCTCTTACACACAGATGCTATTTTGTTTTGTCAGATTACACACAAGACCGGGATCTATTCCGTTGAAAGGTATGCTTAACAAATATATGTGATAGTGATTTATTTTTCATTAGCAACTATGGTAAAAAGAGATAAATGAAGCCAGCTAAAGACTAACTCGCTGGCAATTTTGACCAGCTACTGGCTTTTATTGAGAGCCCTGCACAATTCTCAATCTATTATAACTGAACATACCTTTGTCTTCACAGGATGCATAAGCTGTGAATATTGATGACAATGTCAAAATTATTAATGTTTTAATTTAAATTTTGTTTTTTAATTTTCAAACCTACATTATACAGCTTAGACTTATCAAGTCAATCTTTATATAATTGGAGTAGAGTATAATTATCCAGGATTAAATTACTGAAGTTAAGATCTTACAGCACATATAACAGGACCTGTGTAGTCATAGTAGATTTTAGACAGCTCATTAAATGGTGATAAAAAATATTAAAAGTATGGTCTAAAAAACACACAGGGATGAGAACAAGACAAACAACTATTTTTTGATGACTGGAGTGAATGATTTCGGTACGTTAATTAAGGGGTTCTATCAGTAAGGACACGGTAAAGATGGACAAACTAAATGTACAATCATACCTCGCCTATAGCATTATCAACATTTTTTCGTACATCATCATTGCTAAAAAAAAAGAGAAATGACAGTTAAAAAAATTAACTGGCAAAAGAACAATACAAATGTACAGTCATGTAAAATTAATTGAAATGTAAAAGTAAACTGGCCATCACTTGCATTTTGTGGTTATTTTTGTTTTGTTTTTTTTTTTCTTGTCAAGCGGAGACTCTTCAAAAATAATCTTATTTGCTGTAATTTATGACTCAAAACAAACTTGAAGGGACAACCCTGAAGGTGCCTGGTAGACACTTTCTTACCTCAACTTTTCTATTCCATCTAAATTGAGACCCATTTTTGTCCTAAAGAAAAAAAACCTAATATTTAGCATTTCTTGCCAGAGATAATTCATTTTTCAGATGCAGCCACTTGAATGTACATTGTAAAGTTAAATAGCATGCAGTCTTTGAGAATAAGGAAAAATGACTGTTTACATGGATGTTATTGGAGATGACTCAAGAATTCAAGAGCAATCAGAGGTATTTCTAAGATAAGTAGAAATATAATGATCAACAAATAATGATAAAGGTAAACTCTTAAAATCAGGTTACATTGGTTTTAATCTAACTCTACGTTGATAGCCTGTACAATTTGCAGTGTACAAGGTGGTACATGTTGGTCCAATCTCTAGGTAATTTAAAATTCACTGAGCACTTGTAGTTAATAGGAAAAACGTTGACAGTGTTTATAAAAGTTACAGGTCAAAATTAAACTCAGGTCAAAATTTTTTAACGTTGAAGTTCTGGATCTATTGGTTTAATCCACTATAGTAAATTTAATGATAGTTTATGATCTGTAGCTGAAACCATCTGTACTGTCTACAATGTATTACCACCTATGGTGACCTTTGGCCCGGCTTACAGGGGGGATTACAGTCACATTTTAATAAAAAGTAAATATAAAAAATGTGGAATCAGCCAAACCATGGACTGTGAGCAGTAACAATTTCTGGTTGCTGAGATGGACAAAATCATTTTGAAAAGACCACACTGCCATATTTATTTTTTAGACTTCATTTAAAATAGTTTAGACGTATTATCAACTTAGTGTAATTTACAATTTATTTTAAAGTCAATTTAAGGATGGTTTGTAATACCGTATATCTGCCGCTGCAAGTCTCATTCCCAATAACACCAGTTCACACGCCACTGTTCTCTGAGCACTGCTTAGCAAGGGGTCAACAGTTTAGTTGTTTATATAAAGTTGATTTTTTCCCGGAATGTTTTGTGAAGTATACAGTTTATAAAAATTTATAACTTTAATAAATGTTTTGCATGGGCAAATTGAATTGAAGTGCAATATTTCAATTATGTTTTAATTGGTTAGTTACATGTGACTTTATTGTGAATGGCAAACCGATGAAATTTATTAATTTTTAAAAACCTTTACCAATAAACAGTTTATTTATTTACTTATTTATGTTTTTTATTTTTATTTACCGAAAATTTATAAATATCAATAATCACTATTATTAACTTTAACCAGGTTATAAAGTACAAAACTTAATTCTGCTTGATGTCATGGTTACAGTAGCAAGATTCAATAAATCAATAAATTTATATCATTTATTTGTTTATCTTTATAAAGAAAATTATTTCACTGATGCCTGATTATTAATTTTAATGACCATTAAAAATGGTTCCTTTGAACAACAAGGTTAAAAATCATTTTTTGGTTTGAATATTGCTGAACAATACTTAAAACATGTATGTAAACAAACATCATAGCACTTACTTCAGTTCCTCAATCACAATTCTTTGTTTTTCTACAAGCTTTTCAGGGCTCATGTCCTCATTTACATTTGCTGAACCTCCCTACAAAAGTACAATTTTCGTAAAATTGTTATTGACAATTTCCGTAAAGTACCAAATCAAAAACAACAATGTTCCCTCAGACTTCAATAATGTGCCATGACTACTATACTAGATTGAATTTCATGAAGAAGTTGGTGCTTTTCCCTTAGACAAAGTCTAAATTGAACACAAACGTACTAGCTAGGGAGGAAAAGGAGAAGGGGGAGAGCAGAGGGAAAGAGAAGGGGAAGGATGATAAGGAAGTGGCAGAGGAGGTAGTGGTGGCAGAGAGTAGGAGGAGGAAGGGAAGGAATTGGAAAGGGAGGGGGAAGGGGAGCACCCTACAGTAGGAATGACCAAAAAAAATTGACAATTGGGATGATTAAATTCAAAGTTCTTGTTCTAAATAAGTAAAAATAAAAAAACAGCATGTTAGCCTTATTATTTTCCTCGAGCCACAAACACTCAACCCATTACTTTACATTATTTTACAATTCCTTCACAACATCTTCCTCCTACATGGCCAGTGATCATGAGAATGCTAGCTTTAGTTTGTGAACATTGTTTCACCATACCATAGCAACACATCTTTCCATTTCTTCCAACTGGTCTTTTAGTTGTCCTATCAGGCTTCCTTGTTTCTTTTTCTCAAGATTAAGCTGTTGTTCATACTCCTGCAAACTCTGTAAAAAAAATTGTCTCAGTGGATAGGATAACTCGGGCTCCTTTAAACATGTCCTGTGTCAACAAATCTTGCGTTGTGTTGTATTTTATTTCAAAACAGAGAATGAATAAAGCCACACTAGGGGACTTGACTGGGTTATTCCAATAATAACATTCATGGTTTTAAAAACTGCAAGTATGCCCATTAAGTTGAGATATTTTAAGCTAGTTTTACACGGAATATGAAAATTATGCAAAAACAATGGATTTACACATTCTTGTATGCTATTATAAAACATCACTAATTGCTATTTTTAGTTCGCTTTTTCTTCCTGATTCCTTGTAATTACCTGAAGGACTTTACTGGGTCCAAATAAAGTTATCTTGATCAACTGGGTTAGAATATTGTCTGACAAATCTTAAATGTACACTGTGGCCAGATGTGATGTCCTTACAAACCTACTGTCCTGTAATAATTACTACTAACTGTAATTTAATAAGAGACCATTGTTTTGCTGACTGAAAAGAATCTACCTTAGCGCAAGAAAATTGTTGTACCAACAACTGAAATAACTTTGTTGCAGTGAATATAAAGTCTGTGGTAATAAGGTCTATCTACAGATCCTGTGCCAAATAACAGTAGTAAAATATTTTTCTGGTAAACTTGCCAAGTGTTCTGGCAGATAATGCTTACAGATGTATTTAATGAAATGAAATTTAATAGTTATATATAAACTCACACTTTGCTGTTCACTATTGTTCAATGTCCTCTGGGGGCTTTGTTTATCCTTTGGACCACGTACATCAGGACAACCTTGAAATGCAAATTCCTCCAGTTCCATCAGCAAACGCTGAAATAAAATTTTCACACACATGAAGCTTTAGCAAATAAAGGTTATAAATGAGTATCGTGTGTCTTGTTTGGTTTCAAGAAAGAGAGGGTTCTATAGCAGCACTGTCACTCAGGTGGATTTTAAAAAGTACAGTTTAACAAATCAGAAAGAGTGTATTAACAAGTTTAAAAACAGCTACACTGTATTGTAGTGTACACTGTTAAATAATTTTCAACTTTTGGCTTAAGGCTAAATAATATTTATTATTATTCATTCAAAATATTTCTCCATTTCTGATTTTCTCAAATCCCACAGATAATTCACTACAACCAGCTACTGTTGACCAAATTTGGAAGAAGTTTCTGATATGTGAAAAATGACATCAATACTGCAGCATAATTGCCAGGAAACTGGACAGCTGACCGAGAAGGCCTGGAGACAATGTTGATTTGTTTTGGTACAGAGCAATACAAAATTGCAGAACATTTCAGCAAGAATACAACTCAATGGACGACCTCTGCTATTGGGAGAAATATTTGCAGAACCAAACATCCCTGACTTGCTGATAAACACGCAATTGAAGATGAACTTAAAATTCATAGAGGTAAGCCTGTTTTACCTTGTTTTTAAACTAGGAATTATTTTGAATAATAAAACAATATCTTTGAATACAGCTTTTGTATCATCAAAAGAATTATGGAGATCTTGGAGGATGTTATCCGCCTCAGCTGCTCCTCCATCTCCATAATTCTTAAGATGATACTCAGCCTCATCCGATAATTGTTAAATATTACAAATCCTGTGATATTGTTGAAAGATGTTGCTTTTTAATTGAAATGGTGTTTGATAGAGAGACTTTTTTTAAACAAGAGAGTCACATTACATGTATATAGAGAAAACGCTTTTCTGTTGTTGTAAAAATAATAAAGTGATGTTGGTCTCTCACAGCACTTTTTGTTTGTCCCTTCTTGGACTAGAGTTTTAGAATTTCAACAAACCTCTCTTTTCTCTTCTGGGGCTGACACAACTTGTTTTAACCGAAATTGCACCTGCAAAATACAATGTACCGGTAAACTTCTTATGGGACAAAATCTATGCTGTATGTTACTATACTTATCATTACCAGTTATTATTAATTAGGCTATAGGAAGGAAGCCAACCACAAATAACACGTGGTAAAGATTGGTGATGTGGAAACTCTATTTATGGTAGCAAATTTTGATGGACTGACTGGTTTTGTCTTTTTTTAAAGGACAATTGTCAAGATTTCTGATTGCATCCTCTGATTCTCTCGATTTGTGTCATACACCACAGGATTCTCTTCAAGGCAAACTAACTAATTTTTGCAGGGGGAGGATCAACCCTCATACATGTACCGCACAAAGCCCTAAAAACTGTACATTGTATGTTAGGATTTAATACTACTAGCCTTGATACAGTGTACAAGTACCTCTCTTCAAACAGCTACAACATCTGCATGTACATTTTAGCAGCTTTATATATATATAAAGAGCAGGTTAAGTGTGGCTATCAGGATGAGTGTGGTTGGCAAATGGGTTATGGATTAATGGCCATTTATCAAGCTCATTGGCCAGACAAAGTGAAATCTATAAACCCTGGCTCATCAAAAAATTTTTCGGGTCAGTCAAAATGACTTTTGATCAGGCTAGTACAGGCTATCTACAGCTTGCTGTTTGTAAAACTGATCTTCTACAATGTTTGCAGCTTGTGATAATAATGATAAAGGTGCATTATAACAACCCATCCAGAGGCAGCTGTCACAGACAGTTACTACACGTACAGTGTATCAGCAAACGTTCTTTCCACACTACACTGACCAGGGTGACCAAACTTAATCTACAGAGTATTGATGCTGTTTACTTTGGAAATGGAAACAGAAGAACAACACAGAGAGTTTACATTTCCTTTTGATGAAGTTAAATGAAATTTAACACAGTTAACAACAAGGAGCGTTATCTCTTGTTGTCGGTCAGCTATCAGTGTGGTGATGCAAGCACAGCCAGCCTTGCTTCCATCAGCTCCATGTGCTTAGTATGACACTTTCATGGTGGTCACTTGCTTTGTTTAGTCTTTGGATTGTGCCTTTTCCCACAGTTGTTAACTCAGAAATAATGTTTAGGATCTACATGTATGACAGACTGAAACTTCGTACTCATGAGTATGCAGTAAGCTGCAAGCAGCTCGAAGGGACCAGTTCATCTAGTTTTGTAGTATTTCCATGTAGTAAGGCTTATTTTCTAACCTGAGCAAAGTGACTTGTGAGTGCCAGAAGGGAGCCATTTAATTCTTCTTGTTCGTCCTCAAGCTCTTTCAGCTTTTCCTGATCTGACCTGAAAAGAATCATGATAAAATGTCCAGAATTGAGAAAAATGAAAATAATAATCTTTTAAAATAACTGATGTAGATGTTAAATTAATGACAATACACAGCCCGAGAAACCAGACTGGAGAAAGCTACATGTAGTCAATATTATTCATTAACTTATACTGACTGCCTACATGTATAATACACAGGGAACAGGCCGGTTTTCATTGAGAATTCTAGTAGCAGGAGAAAGGTGTAATGTTACAGGAGAATATTTTGAAAGAGGCCCATATCTGAGTAAAAAATAGTCATAAGCTATTTAACATTAGCCGGAGAATTAAGCGTAGTAATCAGATAATTTTCTGATCTCCGATGCCTAATGAAAACCCTAAGGGACCCTGCTGAAGTTGGTACACATGTAGTTACAGTGTATTTCAGGTTTCTAAAAACTTACCTACAGGCAATCTTATAAGCAGCCTAAAAATAAAGTACACCCTTCATTCAAAGATGTACTTGAAGATGTACTTGAATACAATTTGCATGTTATGGCAGCCGGCCCAAAAAAGTCATTATAATTTATATTCAGCTGATAATGTGCTGTTACTTTTGGACTTCAAAGAACTCCAAACACCAAGCTGAAGAAAAGGTTAATTCTAAAATACCGCTTATTAAAAATACATAAAATAAAAATCAGGCAAAGCTTTGTTTTGGGAAAAAATATCAGGCCACCAATATAATACATATTTGATTTGTACAATATATTCAGATGTGAATAATGAGAAGAATGATGGGTCTTGAATCATGAGAAACACATTCTTTATAGTCTGTAAAATAAGTATGTACAATAAACAAAAGTGTAAATTTTTCAGTCGTAAGAACAAAATAGAACACACACACATACAAAACAGACACTCACTTAAACTACCATTAATGCCTATTGAGTGGAAAGAAATATAAAAATATATTACTACAACAAGACTTTAATATTTATTTTTACAGGGTTGTCAAAAGTCAAAACAAGTCTGCAGCCAGCAAATTAAAGTAACCGCAATGGAACTTTCTGTTTTTCCCTCTGCTGGGCTGTCTCTCTTATTCTTTAGCAAAAGATGGCAAGATCAGCCACTTACTTCAACAATAAAGCTACCTACTGGTCACCTTTCTGACAGCTCTTGTATTAGCTAAAAATGATAAATCATGGATAGGAAAACTCAAATGGGTCACCTTTGGTACATGCGCATGTACTTAAGCAATCAATGGACTCAATAAAATTCATTTTAGTATTCTTAGAAGTGTTTCAATTTTTCCAATTCATGTATAGTTTCTAATGCTCCTATTTAATGCAAACAAACTTATTTTACCACAAAGATCATATCATGTTTCCTAGGATGCAGTCAGATTAATACATCCTTTCTCAACAGCACCACTACCATGGAAATGGCAGTCAAAATTACCTTTAAAGCTGTTTAAGCTAATAACAACTGCCCTCACGACAGAAAATCCAGGATGCAATTAAAACAGTATAACAAAAAATGTTACGTCAAAGAAATCATGTCAAAAGCCTTCCATGTATGAATATGGAACAGTGATATATTTTTGACACACACCTGTCTGACTGTAGAATATTAAAGTTTGTATGGTAACTTAGGTGACTAAATGAATGATAATCCAGGATATACAGTTTGTAAACTATAAAGTAACAAAGACCTACATGTATAACTACCTTCAAGTTGTTCTGATTCAGGCATGAATTATAACACAAAGTGTGAAGAGAAATGATTGAAATTTCCCGGGCTTGATCTGCTAACCATGTGACTGCATGCATTTATGAATAAATTTTGTAACTGGTTACAAGAAAGCACCACGGTCATCTCTGTTGATGAGTTTGACCTATTTGCCCCTAAACAGCCTGTGCTGATTCATGTCCCTTGTACTGCTTGTGACAACATCAGTTTTAATGATCTTAAAGTAAAACTTTGTCATCTAACTTGTACAAGAGAAAAAGGTCTCAAACCATGCAAGAATGAGCACGATTCAGCCAAGGACGCCATAGAAAAAGGCAAAAATCCATGTAAATTTGACCCACAAATCCTAACAAAACTCTTGTTCCACTAGCTAATGTAGCTACAATTCATTCCATCTAATCCTACAATCCTTAAAAAACTCTTTCCCAAAAACTTTTCCCATTGAAATAAAACCACCCAGCAAAAGAAAAGTAAATGGAGCAAGAAAAGCGAAAGACGAGAGGAGGAAAAAAAGGGAAAAGTAAAAGTCGAGACTGCTGTGTCACTTTTACACCAAAAAACTATCTTGAAATTTGAAGCTGATATTTTGCATCTGGAACAGAAGTGGCAAGGTGCTTGACCTACACTGTATAAACAGTATTTTGGTCAGTTTTGGCACTTTATAGTAAGACAGTGGAGTGACCAGAAAACAGCTCGATGGACTTCAAAAAGTGTTTTGCAGCAAAATTCCCAAGAGCAAATGAGTTAGTGTTTTTTCAATAGGCTTAGCAAAATATTATTCAAGCTGTGGTAGCTACTTGGTAGTGAAAGTTACTGCTGAGTCCATAAATCAAATGATCAAAATGACTGCAAATTTTTGGAGTAGGGTTTTGCCACTATCTTCAGTTGCATTTTGAAACCCTGCTCCTGACTGAACACCAGGAATGCCTATCCTATGGACCCAAACAAACTGTTGACCAGAAATTCTCATTCTTCGTAACACTGATAAATTTTTTCATTTCAAAGTGATACCCTATTCTGGACCAAAATCCCCTGATAACGTTTTACTTTTAGATCAAACTGCTTAACTTCACACAACCACACAAGACAACACGCTCTAAGAAAAATTGAAGGGAGCCTAGCACTCTGAACCTGCAAATTCTGAGATGGTGAAAATAGGATTTCTAAAAAAAAAACTAAAATTTTCTTTAGGCCTAAAAGCAAAAGCAAGGTGACAGGGGTCGACAGGCGGTGTGAGAGCTCACCCCTGTGCACGTACAGCCCAATTAATATGACAGTACCCACCACCAGTTTGCAGCCACAGACAAACTTCACATGGATTTAGATGTAAAGACAAAACGTTTGACCCAAACACCTTGCACTCATAAGAGAGGCAACGCTTCAAAACCTTATTTCCAAAATTACATTACACTAAAATAGCTGGGATGTTTGGATTGCCTTATTTCCGCGTTGCACTGAAATTGTAGAAGAGGAAAAAACTGTCACGTACAATGGGATTGACGAAAAACAAAATTGATACTTTAAATTCCCGTCACAAATTAACTATAAATTTATAAAAATTCACGCATAGGATAAGAATCTTCTGGAGCATTTGATTGTTAACCTTTTTATGTTGCCCAACCATGCATGGAAATCAAGAAAACAATAATTATTTCTCGTAAATTATTTAAGGGCCAGGGAAAAGGTTCGCTGAAAGATTAGAGCTATCCTGACTTAATAGTATTTGAATGATAACAGTAGTCCTAGGATAAAATCGAAGGATATCACTCGAGATATGTCAAAAAATTTCTAAGCCAGCATCGCAAATGTCAGAAATTTTTCGTTTCGCCGAAGGAAAAACAAGTATAGTTCACGCGTGAAAATGATCTCTTCCACGGAACGGAATTCCAATAATCTCTCTAAATTACCAATGGTGACATAAAAAAAAGTACCGTATGCTTTAAAATTTCGAAGATCACAAGTAACACCATCAAGGAATAACAAAAAAAAAAGTTCGTGACAAGTATAGCAAGCTGAACTGAAGCTTGCAAGCTTTAACAAATCAACTTAGAATCGCTCACTAAACACAATCGACCGTGCAACGTACATTGCAATTTGACGGCTGAATTTCTAGCAAAAGGGAAAATAAATTAAGGAACATTCTGGGAATGTTATGGGCTGAAAAATAGGACTCACTTTCGCTGATACTCAGAGTTCTTTGCTCCATTTTCGGCGATATTATCCACGGCGGCTCCCAATGGCGGCCATCTTTCTTCTAAGGGACGCGAACTGTAGAAGGTGGAATCATCGTATTCCATGTCAGCCATTCTGTTTAAAATAAGTGTTAATTCATTCTCTTGGGAAATTCACCACCCTGGAAAAAAATTTCCCACTTTTTGTTCACACAAACGAGAGACACTCGCAATCATTCAAGGAAGAGATCAACGGAAAAAGCGATCAAATCAGTTGTTGACGCACAAGCGGCGCGTGGGCGACTCTCCAGGGGAGGGGTTTGGGTGACGTGATAACTGTTGAGGGAGGGGAAAGTTAATATATTGACCACCTGAATTCCCAACAATAATTCGGGGGGTATATTTACGCAGAGTTCAAGGTCGGAGGTCAATTTGATTTATTCATTTGAATATCTATTTAGTTATTTATTTTATTAATTATTGTTTTTGGGAAGAGTGCGAGCTCGAATGCCCTCGAAACCCTCGAGCGGCTTCTTCATGAATTCAAGTGGTTTTCGCGGGAAACTTCTAAATGATTTACAAGTTTCTCCGTCGAGACCACACGAGCTCGATTTCAAGGCCATGGAAATACTGCACCATAATTATACTGCCAAAGTTATTGTAGTAACATACTTCCTTTTCTCAAATTCAAACGTGAAAAAAAAAAAACAAACAAACAAACAAAATTGCGCGAACGAGTTTGCGAGAGACAGTCGTCAAAAGCTTTCGACAGATTTTTCGACAGTGCTACAATTTGAAACATATCTTGTCAAATAACTGACCAATTGGAAACCAGGTCGAACGTCTCCTCTCTCTTCTGATTGGTAGAAAGACCTGTCAAGCGTCAGCAAGTAACCCGACTTTTTTTTTCAAGGCAAAGGCAGAGTTGTTCTATAATTTTTGTTGAGTTTTACAGCGCAACTTCTCAAAGGTGTGTAGACACAATTTTAGTATTTTCCCTCATTTAGGCTTTCCTTTTCAACTTCTCCTTCTTTGGAGGGGCAAACCTAGTATTTGCAAAGCTTTTTATGGTTGTTTCAGTTTGTTTATGCAAGAAAACGCAGCGTTTAAATCAGGACGAATTCCTACTTCTAGAATGAACTCTCATGAAAGGCTGAAAGGGTAAAGAACACGCTTTTTCATCAGCAAATAAGAAAAACCTGCTTTAGAAATTCTGCATGTAACGCCAGATTATATGAACTTGTTTCGTCAAAGGTTAGAAATATGTTAAGGTTAAGACAAAAGCTTATATATAGCTTTGGCTAAATTGTGAAATCGTTACTTTTCACGCAGCTATTGACGACAAACTTTTGGAACGACTCTAGTGCTCGGCTCAGAAATGGACATGGCCAAGAGCCTTCATTTCACTCCAGTCAAAGGAAAACCTTTGAGTCCTTTCATCTCAAAGTTGAAGCTTCTTCTAAGTGACGACAAGTATCGTAAAGCCATACGCTGGTCAGAAAGTGGTGGGGCAATTCTTATCACCGACGGCGAAGTATTCAAACGGCAAGTTCTAGACGAGAGTGCTGAAATGTTTAAAACCAGAAACTTTACGAGCTTTGTGAGGCAGCTTAACCTGTATGGCTTCCGTAAAGTTCCAGTTAACGGAAAAGGCGACCCGTCCAAAAACATGGAATTTGAGCACATTCACTTCAAACGCGACAAACCAGAACTAATGCTTCTGGTTCACCGTACGTGCTCTTCCAGAAAAAAGAAACGAGTGGCTCAAGGAACGCTGACATCCTTCAAAAGAGAAAGCTCTACGCAGCTGGAGGACCCACCAGTTAGAAAGTTCAAGTCGACTGAATACCAGAAAGAGGAAAGAATTTCCGGGAAATTGAGGCGAAACGACAGCAGTTTCTTCTGCGAAAGCACTGATTCCTCACCCCAGAAAAGCGAATCGGAAGGAGAAAAAGAATGCAGTGCTGGGGAATTCAGCCATTCCAGTCATTCTCCATTTGAAGTTGCACCAGGTTGCGCCGGAAACTCTCTCTTGGAATACTACTATCAAAAACATCAAGAAGAGCAGATTGCTGTCCAGCTCTTGTTAAATTTGCGCTACTCATCGTCCTCGCCTCAAAACTACGAAAATTTCCAGCCAACGCAAGCAACCTACGAGCCATCTTACACTGGTTATCCAATGTACATGTTCCCAACTTCAGTGCCTTTTTATGGCCAATATAACTCTATGTATTGATAAAATTGCAAGCCACTTTTAAGAGCAAGTATTTACTTTTGGAATGAATTTATTTCTTCAGAGAGTTTCCTTTCATTTTGGCGGAATTGTTTTGTGGTATTTTAATCATTAGTTCATTCGACACATTTTTAAGCATAGAAAACTGGCGGGCAAAGCTAAACTATGTTTTGGTGAGCTGAATTCAGTCTATAAATTGCTCAGTTTTTTTCAACGCTTCAACTAAATATTGCATTGTGCCCTTACCAAAATCGCGCGTAAAATGCAGAAAATTTATTAACGGTGATGATGTCCTAGTATAGTTAAAGAGAATCTAGTAGTATGAGTGAATCGAAGTGATTGAATTTAATTCTCGAATATTTCTCAATGAAGTTCAAACTACTATAAATATCTAGGCTCACATGAAAAACAATATTGTATTTCTTTCAATTGATAGAGGAAGGAAAGTTTGCTTTAATAATATCTGCAAAGTTCAGGTTACAGTGTGGAGTGAAAGCTACTAATGATTCCAGATTTTTACCGCGTAAAAGAAATTCACTGAAAACCGTGCGCTTTCGGAGATGAAAAATGGATCAGTTTAATTATTGCTGCTGTACGGTATTTATTGACAAAAATATTTGGTAGAGATGTAAAGAGAAATGAATAGATTGAGACTGTATTAAACAACATCATGCACATTTGATATAGGCTGTGTGTCATTACTGATTTTATAAATCTCCTAAAAGTAAATTTAATGATTTCCCGCAGTTATTTCCCCTTTCCTTTTCTTACATCAGCTAAAAAAGCTGATGCTTTGAATATTGATATATATTCAAGCTTACATTCAGGGTGTTCAGGTGCTGGTATATATTTCAACATAGTGTTGATAAGGCCAAAATCGTGCAAGAAGAACACAATATAATGAAAGTAGAATAGCCAGCCTTACTGGCCAGCCTTAAAGATAATGCCAGTGGTTCGGTCAACTTCAGTCAAGGTTACGAATTCCCTTTACCAGGTGTTTACTAGGCATCTGTTAGCCTAGTCCTTAGGCATTCTCGGCTCGGTCACAAGTTATGAATAACTTCAAGTACCTTGGCATAAGAAAAAAACTCGATTTCAATTAGGGAAAGTTCATTTAATATGACAAGGGGGGGATGAAGATATTGAAACTCGAAGCTTGAAATTTTAGCAGCCCCCCTCGCTAGCGGTTAAATTTTTTAGGAGCCCCCTCCTTGGTAGTCGAAAAAATTTCAGAGTCCCCCCCCCCCCCCCTCTCCTTCCCTTCTCCCCCTCCCCAACAATCCACTGGCTGGTTTTACTTATTTCTCCCGTTTCCTCTTTTTCTCGCTTTTATTTTTCCCAACTCAACAACAACTTCATTAGATATTTTATCAAAATCTTTTGAATATTCTAGTAGTTTATATATAAATTTTCGGAGCCCCCCCTCCTAGCGCAACAATTTTTTCAGAGCCCCCCCTTCGGGTGTCTAAAAATTTTCGGAGCCCCCCCTCAATATCTTCATCCCCCCCCTTGTCATATTAAATGAACTTTCCCTTAAAGCACGAATTCTCACCATTAAACTTTTATAAAGAAATCAAATACAGGCATTTCAAAAAACAACAAACAAGATAGTCTAAACATCAAACCTAATACTCGCAAGCACCTGAGTTTGACCAAAGCTCAAAAGTGCAATTACTTTGTTTACTAAAAATCTCTGATTCATGTGGTTACGCTCCTCATATAACTTCACAGATTTAATCAGTGTAAAAATATCCACTACGATCCACACTTAAAAACTGATCAACTGTGACTGAACTGAGCTGTTTCAGTGCGATCAGGCTTAAGAAATAGTGATCTCCATCAACATTCTCCATGAACATTACACTTTCACGCAATTAGCAGTTATTGAGAATTTATAAAATGATCGAGTGATAGGTGTCGACCTTAACACGTTTTTGTGCTAAAATAATAATAGGTATGCATTTGAAGATGATACAAAGGAACCCAAAAGAGACTTATCCCTCTTCAGCTGATGTTTAGAAAATTGAGAAGGACTGAATTCGAAGAGCATCACCGTACAGCTGAATCCAGTCAGCGACCCTCAATAGAAATCATTTAAGCTTACATAATCAACAACTACGTAAATGCCCAAGTTTCTGACTCGACGGTCATCCGCCACCGTCAGGACTAAAATCATACGATATTGCTTCTCGAACGAATCCCTCATTTTAATTTTCCCCAATTCCGGGCAGTAATCCAGGACCAAGTACCTTTTCCAGATCTTCTCCGCACGACGAAACGCTTTCTCTGACTTCTCTGGTGGCCACTTCCCGCTATATTTTCTAGTAGTTGGAGGGAATTTAGTCTTTCCTTGATCGCTTGAAACCCGCTTTCGTCTGCACTGTTCCATCGGCGTATTAAAGGCTCGGGTTAAAGTTGTGGAAAAGATAAGTCGTTTTTCAACAGAATAGAAATTATTTCTATTTACTTTTGTCAGTTCTTTGAAAACTGAAGAAGTATGCGCATTTGGAACGAGATAGAATTATATAAGAGTGGTGAAAAAAAGTAGAGTATTTGTAGCTAATAATTTGTACTTTTTGAAATACGGATTAGCTGGTGTACTCTCACGTTTGAGATTTATGCAACTGGCTCCCAAAAGTCAAACTCAGGTGACTGCTAATCTATTCGAAATTATAAGTAGGAAAAACCCCCAGTTTAAAGCCAAATTAAACTAGAATAAGTCAATGAAATGGCAAGTCGTTCAGTAAATATGTACTTGGGACTTTTCGGCCCAACGCGATGATTGTTTCCACGAAGGAAGTTTATTCCTATAAAAAACCTGGGTCTTTCGGGTCCATTCCCAGTTCAGTGACCATGAATGACGTGTCTTTTTCTAAACTGAACATGGGAATGTGACGTCTGGTCTAAACTGATTCTAAATCTCGCCATTCATCGTCAGTTTATTCATTTCCAAACTATGTAATGAAAACAGTTTTTTGGAAAAATCATAAGCGGTGGCTTTTTTTAAAATCATGCACAGATGGCTTTTAATAGGCACTAAAAATAAATACCCCCGACTCTAAAAATATTCAAAACCGCCCACCCTTTTCTTGCGGTCTCCATTATGTAAGGGCCTTCACTGGGTGACCAATGCTAAACAACGCCGGGAATAGCTTTGAAAATTTAACCTGATGTTCTGAACTGGACTGTATCTTTACAGCAGTTGATTTACTTTTGACTAATATCAAACAAAAACTATAATCCTCTGATACGATCAGTGATTTGGCAAAGACTGCCTTCTTATCTTTAATCTATTTTACAAGTGCGCTAGGATCAAAGATAGTTCTTTCTAGAAAATGTCAACAGAAAGAATGATCTAGCGGGTGAACGGTTCATTAGCTCATGATTGGAAAAGTGTCAAAATGTCGAGATTTTACGGTTCTATGACTCGTACAGAAAATTAACCATTGATTAAAGCTAACAAGCAGCATAACTTTCATTTGACTGCTGGTTGCGTCACAGAGAACAGTACCTCGCAGTTTCCGTGGTAAGTACGCTGCTTCCTTTTCAGTTACATAATCAACTACTTCTATTTTCTAAAGTGTATCTCAGTATTCGTGGCTGAAGCAGCAGTCGGTTAATTGGTGATTAGGCTAGTACTCTGAGCTCGTCTTCCACATAGCCACAGGGTAAGTTCCAGTTTTCGTTCCCAGAAGCTCATATGTAAGTTGTGTTTGCGTTTGCGTTTGCAGATGATTCTCGTCCCTGCAAGCGATTGTCTGCAGCAAAAGTTTGGGGCTAACTGCTTGAACGGCAGAAATCTGAATGTGAGAACAGTTGAGGTTCAGCTTGATTCTGTAGCTGATACTAAACTACCTGGCATAAAGATATAGACAACTGTTTTTAAATAACGGTATCGAATATATGAAAGCGACTTCGCCTTTTGAAAAGAACAGATAAATTTCTGTGACTGAGAGCTGAGAAGTTTGTTTTACAACTCACTTAATCCAGCTAATGCTTGACTACGGAGGTTATTGTCTTGGGGACATAAAGGAAACCGAAGCCGCACGTCCAAGACGTAATCAATTAACATAAAAGATGCGCCAGAGTAATCCTAGACAAAAAATGAGACTCCCCCTCGGGGCCTTTATTTAGAGACCTTAACGTCATGCCATGATTTGATAAAAGACAAGAACGCGCTTACAGCGGATTCAGTCTCGCTTGCTTGGAGATTAGATCGAGAAAGCTTATGATAACTGTATAGGAATATTTTTATTCATAAAAGTGGCCCTGTTCTTTTGGCCGGTTTTACCGGAGAAAATGGTACCGTCCAGCGGGACATCCTGAGTTTTAGCAACATTTGTTACAAGGCATATCATATCTGGGTTAACGGTGATTCTTTAGGTTTCCAAAAGGCCAGGGTAACTAAACAGGAGTGTTTTTTTTTTCGTAAAAAATGCCTTGTCCTTTTGGCCTGTATTACCTAAGGAAATACTACCGCCTAGCAGGACATCCTAAACTATGTCAGCAGTTGCTTGCATGTAATACTACATGACATGCAGCGTGTTATTATTACATCGAAGTACATACGTATACCTTGCCCTCTGAAGGCTTTTTCCTACCAGCTGTGGACAGCTGAACAAAGAGTTGAGTTTAATTGCTGTGGTACATCTGTAATGTAGAAGTTGAACAGAACTTGTCACTGATGAGTTTCTGCAATTTCGTCCATGAACGAATCGAAGAACAAAGCATACCGTAAAATTTCGAAAATAAGCCCCGGGGCTTATGTTTTTCAAAGGCCCCTTTTGAGGAGCTTATTTTTGTAGGGGCTTATCTACGGAAGGAAATTTACGTTTCAAAATCGATTGGGCTAGCCTTATAGCTGGGAATAAATCTACCATTTTTGCTTTGTTTTACTATATATTTGAGGGCAATTTTCCAAGTTCAAGTCCCCAGGGGGCTTATATTTGGAGGGGCGATTTAACGGAGGGTTTTTTGCGTTACGTGTTTGGGGGGCTTATATTTGGAGGGGCTTATACATGGGGAGGAGTGTTGGGTGACGACTCTAAAATTAAAAGCGGCTGTGTAGCAGGCTACGGCTGGCGGTCATGATGGAATTGTTTCTACGAAAACTGAGAGTTTTAGCGGCAAGGGAGACCCGATGGATTTCAAACCGTCTCCTCCCCATTCTCCGCACAGCTCCGCAACACATCTGCCCAAACTTTGTTTGCTCTGTAAAACGATCCCGCCGGCTACGCAGGCTAACAGTTAAAAAATCCAAACTTTTCTGTCTTATGCTAAAAAACTCTTCCTCCAGGACCAGTCGCTCTTGGTACCTCAGGAGAGGTTTAAACACACTTAGTTACTGTTTGCAGGTGCGTCTTCATGAGGTCTTTGCATGTTACGCACGGCTAGGACCATGACTTAATTAGTGTCAGCTCATGGGAGGTACGCACTGCAGTAAAGTTGAGCCTTTGAAAAAAGAACATTGCAAGCAAGCGTCATCATCATGATGATTCAGTGTAATTTGATCACAAATCATTAACACTAATAATGAAAATTAATTAATAATTGTTACATAATATACATTTTATCAGCCGGTGAATTTAAAGGAAACTTCTGAGAATTTAGCAGTTCATGTATTCATTCTATGTACCGAACTTGATCGAAATTGGCAAAATTATGTCTTTTAATTACGTTGTCGAACCAAAAGCGGGAAAATTAAAATGCTGGATTTTAAAATAATCAACTGTGAGAAACCTGTCTTTTAACTTGTTACATAACAAATCCCATATTTGACGTAAGAAGTTACATTTTATTCCTACCGCTGACCAATACAAACAATGACGAAGCAGACGAAGACAGACAGCAAGACAGCAGCGACTGCAGCGACCGGCTAGTTTGCAATCACGTGCGAAACCGCGTTATGTTTTGATTATGTTTGGGGATGCAACTGCTTGGAAAAACAGTGTTATCCGTTGTGTAACTGAGTGAAATATCTTCCACAGTCATCATGGACCAGGATGAAATCGAAGCTCTTGTGAAAGATGTTTTAGCGCGCGGTCAGAGGGACTTCAAATTTACAAATTGGTCGGAAACATATTCGTGTCAGCCAGCTTTGTACTTTGAGCCTGAAACCACTGAAGAGATAAGAGAGGTATGAAGTTATCTACTCGCTTGTTAACTTTCCAAGTACTGTCTGCTAAGAGCCAATATTGATCGTTGACTAAAACCGTGGATTTAGCTTGCGTTCCATCGATTTAAATCAAATGAAGATTATCGAGTTCGATGTATGATGTAAAAGATTCCAACACTGTATTTTTGCCTTTTTAAATTTCATTTAGATTCTCAAGGTAGCCCAGAAGTTACGTAAGAGAATTCGAGTAGTTGGAGGAGGCCTTTCACCTTCCGATATAGCGTGTACAGAGGAATATATGATCTGTTTGAAGAAGTACAAAGATATTTTGGAGGTGAATAATAATAATATTGAATTTACAAGTGCGTGGAAAAAAGCCCTCAGTGACCAGCTGATAAAGTGCTAATTTTCCCTTCCAAGCTACCTTGAATGTTCTTGTGACTCAAAAGAAGAATTTAATGTTACACCACTAGTCACTTAGGTCTTTATTCCCTAGTTTCTCTTTGATGATAACGTAATGTTTTGGTGCGTATCTTTGTTTTAAACTTATTTTCCTTTATTTCAAACTCGTAAACAAAGGAAAAGAAAACCTAAACCAATAACACCTGATTTTTATGATCAGTGCTTTACACATGTGTCAATGAAAATTGGGCTATTTCCTTAAGCATGTTAATTTAACACTCTTACTTCAATTTTTGTTCCCTGTTTCTCTGTCATAATAAGAACTATGTCAATTAACCCTTGTCAATTACTTTTATGGATGTACCTTGTATGTTAATAATGTGATCAATTTTTGTGGTATATGTACAACAATCTCATTACAGTAAAACCCCATGTATATTTAAAGAACCTACAGTGTAGATTTTTCCAAGTCAGCCTGAACAGGTTCTTATATAAATGGTGCTTAACTTGAAATTAGGCTATCTGGGTTCTCAAATGGGTTCTTAATTTATGGTAAGAAAAAAAGTACTTGTATTGGTGGGCGTGGCCTTTGATATTAAATTATTCTCACATTTTCATGTTAGTTACATGGAATATAGTAGAGGGCAAATTTTAAAGGCACATAAATCATACAAAATAGTGCTAAGTTATGCACATGTTATTGTTTTCTATTGTACTTTGGAAATTAAGAACCTACTTTGGAATTTCAGCCTGAAATGGTTCTTAACTGAAGGGTGCTTGAAAAAAAGCCTTCAGTGACCAGCTGATAAAGTGCTAAATTTCCCTTCCAAGCTACCTTGAATGTTCTTGTGACTCAAAAGAAGAATTTAATGTTACACCACTAGTCACTTAGGTCTTTATTCCCTAGTTTCTCTTTGATGATAACGTAATGTTTTGGTGCATATCTTTGTTTTAAACTTATTTTCCTTTATTTCAAACTCGTAAACAAAGGAAAAGAAAACCTAAACCAATAACACCTGATTTTTATGCTCAGTGCTTTACACATGTGTCAATGAAAATTGGGCTATTTCCTTAAGCATGTTAATTTAACACTCTTACTTCAATTTTTGTTCCCTGTTTCTCTGTCATAATAAGAACTATGTCAATTAACCCTTGTCAATTACTTTTATGGATGTACCTTGTATGTTAATAATGTGATCAATTTTTGTGGTATATATGAACAACAATCTCATTACAGTAAAACCCCATGTATATTTAAAGAACCTACAGTGTAGATTTTTCCAAGTCAGCCTGAACAGGTTCTTATATAAATGGTGCTTAACTTGAAATTAGGCTATCTGGGTTCTCAAATGGGTTCTTAATTTATGGTAAGAAAAAAAGTACTTGTATTGGTGGGCGTGGCCTTTGATATTAAATTATTCTCACATTTTCATGTTAGTTACATGGAATATAGTAGAGGGCAAATTTTAAAGGCACATAAATCATACAAAATAGTGCTAAGTTATGCACATGTTATTGTTTTCTATTGTACTTTGGAAATTAAGAACCTACTTTGGAATTTCAGCCTGAAATGGTTCTTAACTGAAGGGTGCTTGAAATTAAGCTTTCAGCCTGACAGGTTCTTAAATTTAGGTTCTTATATGTGGGGTTTTACTGTGTTTCATATTGGGGGTGGTAAAGGGGGTTCTAGCTCACGTTTCACAGGAAATAAAATCGTCTTTTCACAATTCATGGGAATTTAAAAAATGGCAATTCACACTTGACAGAAAAACGGAGAATTAGGCATTTATTTCTTGTTTCACGGAAAATGATTTGACAAAATCATGCTTCACTGCTGCTATGAAAATCATGATTCACAAGGAAATAATTATCCATTTCATATTTCATAGGGAAAAAAGGACCTATCATGAGTCATCTGGAGCTTCCAACAAAACCCACAAAAGCCCTGGACCAAAAATTAACCCTCAAATTATTTAGAAGTTTCTTGGTTTTGCGGATGGGTGCAATTATCCAAAATGTAGCAATACTAAAGGTTGAAAAGACCCCGATTAAGACCCTAAACCACCACCATCATCATCATCATCATCATCATCATCATCTTTTGGCCCTTTTGTTTGGGACCCAACACAAAAGCAAACCAACTATGGTTTCCAAAACACCAAGAAACACCCCAAAATTCCATGCTGAATTTCCAAGCCTGAGAATAATTCACTAAAGCCAAAGGGAATTCATGATGATGATAGTTATGATAATGCTGGGCACACATTGAGCATGATGGGTTAAAAATCAGCTTATTAAAATGAAATCATGTTGGATTCACCCTAGGTAATTACATAACTGCTTTTATGAGATACTTCCAGTGAGATAGAAATTAAGTAATGCATTATGTTTTTAAACAACCATGAAACAAGTTTGGTTCTTCTTAGTGGAACTATGTGGCGGGGTCCATACGCCACCACTTCAAGGAGTCTTCACTTTATTTTGAAAATCTCTGCTTAACTAATTCAAGTCACACTAAAAATAGTTGCCAAATTTCCAACCCTCCCCCCCCCCCCCCCCCCCCCCAAACACCCCCCCCACAACACCACCCCCCCCCCCCACCCCCCCCCACCCCCTTCCTCACCTCTTCCCCTCCATAACACCAACATCTTTTCATCATGAACATTCATTAGGTCCACCACCGGACCAAGATACACTACATGAGAAAAATCTTTGCTTAACTAATTCAAGTCACACTAAAAAAGGGTGCCAAATTTCCAACCCGCCCCCCCCACACCCCTGCCAAAAAAAAGTTCAACCTTTAATCATCCCAAAATACTGATAATCCTCTTTTACATTCTAGATTAATCATGATGAGAAACAGGTGACTGTCCAAGCTGGCTTGACAGTAGAGGAACTCAACAAGTTGTTAGAAAATCATGGGCTGGCTATGTCCAAGTGAGTATTCAGTAGAAAGGTGATAAGATTTAGGAAGACGAGATCCATTGAAAAGAGTAGAGAGGCAAGAAAGATAGGCAGTGCCTGTGGTTAAATGAGTTGGAGCGGGGGTGGGGTGGGTGTTGTTTTGAACTGCAGAGGAAAATATTTGAGGGCTGTGTTCCTGGGCTGAGTTGTTCAAAGCTAGGTTAAGATAACCCAGGGTTAGTGCAAGATTTGAATTTAGATTTGAAATCTTAATTAATTCTTTTTGTCTACAAGTTGATGATTGGACGCTCTAAAAATAACCGAGAAAATTATCCAAGAGAATGCTTTTGAACACAAGAAAAAGAAGCCCGGGTTAAATTTAACCCTGGTTTAAGCGCTAATCGGCCTTCGAACAACTAGGCCCAGGGCTATAGGACTTTTTTATGGCTTGTGTTTTAGTGCTATGGGACTGTTCTGGAGGTTTTGCCTGATTTGCAGACTGTTCAACCTTTTGAGTACGTAAATCGGGATATTTTCACAGAGGAATCACATGAGCATGCACCAAAGGTGTTGTGGTCAACCTTCACTCATCACATTATTCACATCATGGGTATGGTGGGTACAGTAAGCTCACAAATGGACTGAGAGCGGCTGCCAGTGGCGCCTTTGTATGTGGACCTCCAAGCTTACTGTTCACATGTTAAAATGTATTGTAAGAGGGTATGTCTGTTGTCCTCTCATCAACGGCTCTTCATTCATTCATTCATTCAAAGGGGCGAACCTCTAGGGGGGGTTAGGCAGATTCTCCCCCAGAAAATTTTGAAATCTTGATGCTCTGAAATGCCATTTCTAGATTTTTGAGAGGACAATTTTTGTCTGAAATGTTTGCTGAATCAATTGTCATTTTTTTGCTTATTTTTATTTGTGTGGCTTTGTGTACAATTACTTGATTTTATTTTATACTTCGGGTGTTTTTTTTTTTTAAAGTTTTCAAGATATCAGCATAGGTGTTTTGTTTTTGTTAGGTGTTCTTTATAGGTATCATACGAATTCTTTAAGAATTTTAGAACAGATTTTTCCTATCCCTATTGCATGTTGGTCGTGATTTGGGATTTTCCAGCAAAAGCGGAAGAATTCCAACAAAATCAGTCTGGTTGGACAGTCTGTATTTGCCCTTCCCCATAAATGTGCCATCTAATAATGCTTATGAAAAAACCACTGCATAGGCACTTACTCCTTAGCCTCCTACGAAGGCATTTCCTTTGCCTTAATTTGTTTTTTTGTTTTGTTTTGTTTTGTTTTTTAATTAACATCAACATTTTCTCTAAGGTTTTGTAACCTCACCTGTGTAATAAAAGTTTATAATCAATTTTTAGTGTTTTAGCTGTTTGTGATGACCATTTTCTGCTAGTTTTCTCCATTAAAGTGATCATGGAATCATGTTTTGTCTAACAATGCCATTGTCCATGTCAAGGGCGCAGGGATCCAATGTATTTCCAAGTGTCGATAGAAAAAAATCTTTACAAACAGGGGACAGACAATTCTCTCTGTAGGCTTAAGCTGCAGTTTGTGCTAATGTCTTGTGTACTTTACATGTGTTTTATAGTCTTAGTTCTGTTTCTGGCATGTCATGTGCTGGTACTATATGCACAGGAACACATGGAACAGGCAAGAAGTATGGGATTGTTGCCACTTTTGTAAGTGTTTTTTTCCCTATAATTTTATCTAACCCATTTGCTCCTGAGAATTTTGCCGAAAAAAATGTTTTAAAGTTCATCAAGCCATTTTCCTGTCACTGCCTGGCTATAAAGAGCCAAGACTTGCCACAAAAATGTTTACAGGTCATACCCTTTGTGGCTTTGATTGACTTGTGCTCATTCTGGTACGATTTGAAAGATCTCTTCGCCCTGCACATTAGTTGGATGACAATGTTGTCCTTGATCAACAAAACTGCATGATGATGTCACAGTTGGTAGAAGGGACTTGGATCTGCACAGGGGGTTACGAGCAGTTCAGGGGTGAATGGTTCAATTGAAAAGTATTTAACAAATATGTGTATAACCAGAAATATTTAATTGCAAAATCTTGGAGAGCTGTGAAGGGCCAGCAGTTGGAGTAAAGGGAAAACATTTTGCCAATAGGGAATAAAATATGGTTAAGCAAAAAGTAGTTAAGCAAGCAAACACTTGGACCACTTGCATGCTTGGTTGACTCCTAGACCACTGTGTCAATTTGCCAATAACTTAATTATCTCTGAAACAAAATTATTGTATTATTTAAAGCATTTTCCCTTCAAAATTCATTTCCAAATGCATTTCTTGACTGCTAAAATAAAAAAGGTCCAAAAAACAACTGGGCCAGAATTGTTGTGGGTTTGTTTACTTGAAGTTTGTGCCTGGGTAACTGCAGCTTCCAATCTGATATATGAGCCAACTCGTGTTTAAATTTCTTAGCTTGCCAAAGAGCCACATGCATTTCATGCACAATGCAAATTCCAACAAAATTATAAACCTTGCATTTGTTTGGGCTTTGGCTCTCGCTTTGTGAAGAATTGTAATAATTATATTACATAATGAATACACATTTCAACTAAAAAGGTACATATACATACTGTTGCATTGTAGAAAAATTGTGAACTAATGAGATTTGACCTGCAATCTATCAAAATTGAAAGTAATTTACATAACTAAATTACATTGTAATACAATACTTTTGCATTAACAAGAAAGCTAATAGTGCCCCTCCAATATTTAACAATTAGTCGCCGAAGGCGATGTGGATATTGGCGAATAGTCACCAAGACAAAGTCGAGGTGACTATTCGCCAATATTCACATCGCCTGAAGCGACTGATTGTTTTAGTATTATTATATTGGTGATTATTTGAGGAAATAAAATTTTTGATCAATTTCTGACTACGAAACATCAAGAAATCTGGCTGTCATTTTGAAAACTGCTAGCCTTCAATGTTATAATCACCGTACAGTGATTATAGCAGGATAAAGCAAAGCTCCTAGCCAATCATAGCGCTCTGTTTTTGATAATCATCAATGTAATTATACTAATAGCAGGTAGAGGTCAACTCTAGTGAGCCTGACTTTCATGACTCTTAATTTTAGATGTATCTTTATTCGTGTTTCAATTAACAGGTGGTGTCACTGGAGTTAATGACTGCTAGTGGGGAGATTATTCATTGTAGTCAGCATGACAACAAAGAGATATTTTCAGCTGCTCTCTGTAGTCTTGGTGCACTTGGCATTATCCTCAGTTTAACATGGCAGTGCGAGCCTGCATTTAGACTGTATCAGCAGTGTGAATCCTTCAAACTGGAGGAAGTATGAACCTGTTCATTTATTTTATACAGTACATGTAAAGTTCCTTCCACCCATCCTTAAACTTAAGTCTATAGCTACCATCCTGGCCCCAGTTGTTCAAACGCTGGACAGTATTATCCACTGGATAAATCACTATGCAGTGGATATAAAGTATATTTAGGGGAAACCAATGTATTGCACTATTGAGTGGATAGAACCCAGTTGACATTCAGGCAGATAAATGCTATTTACGGAAGAGCTCTGCATTATTCTTGGTTATGGCTAAGAAAATCCAAATTGATTTTTCTTTAGGGAAAAGTTGTATGCCCGATCAGATGGGATTCACTGTTTTAGTTTGACAAACCTGCAGAAATGTTGTTTGACAATGTTGGCTTCATAAATGTTCCCTACAAAGTAATGGTATCTAAGGGGCATTTGATTATCATGGTTGTCATTACCGTCTGATGTTTCCTTAATCATTCATTGGTTCGTTTGTTCCTTCCTTTGGTTTGTCCAGTCTGCATGTCTGACTACACTGGTAGAATTTCGTTGGACATTAACAGCTGCACAATTTATTGACTGTTCAAGTCAGCATTGTCCACATTCTCAATTCATAGCACCTGATGTAGCTAGCTTTTATGCCTACCTAACATTTAAGAACAGAAAATGCTGTTTTTTTTTTATGGTGTTTACTTGGGTGGTACTTTTTGTGTGCATAATTTATGGTGTTTTTGATGAATTTCTTTTTGTTATGTTGTGAACTGTAGGTCTTGGAAAATCTTGAAGCACTTAAATCCGGTGATGAATATTTCAAGTTTCACTGGTATCCACATACAGGATATGCTAAAGTCTATCATGTCAACAGGACTTCTGAGGTGGGAATACTAAATAATTTTAAAAGTCATGTAGGAACGGTCATCTCTCCTTTTAGCAGGAGTAAGGATAGCACATTTGGTTATTAGTGTGCAGCCTTTAGTGTGAGAGGTCCAAAATTAAATAGGTTTCTGGGAAACTACCCACCTACCCCATCCCTAACCCAACATTTTGCCCTAAGTGAGAAGTAAGTGTTAATGTTGACTCAGGGGAGGGGTAGGTGGGCAGTTTCCGAGAAACCTATAAATTGATCTTCGCTTACGTTTAGATGTTTACCTTTATAATATGGATGAGAAGACTTATGATAAAGTACCTCAGTGACCAGTCTCCCTAAAGCAGACAAAAAGTGCCCTCTCCAATTTACCAGTCATTGCCAACAAGCAAAGGGTGAGATCATTCAATCCCTTTTTCATTGGAAACCAAGTGGCCTTGTTTGTTCAAGGAAATTGACGTTCCCGGATATGATCCTAAGTGACTTTTTTAATTGACAGGGAGGATCTTGCAAATGCGATGTTGGACCAGAACATGTGGAATAAGATTAATCAGAGCATCCTGACCAAAAGGGCGAAATGATGGTGATGATGATGATGATAATTATAGATGGACGCCTTCCTAGTTAACCAAACACAGCTTTACCTGCAGTTAGAGTAGCCCCTGACATTGTATAGCCCATGAATACAGCCTCCTCTCTTTGTTCCCCACCACTTAGAACTTTTCCTAGAAAAGAGATGTCTGAGTCTTGGCCCATGTGCAGTGCACCGGTATTACTATGCATGAGTATCGCTCTTCATTGACTGTACGTCCATTTTCAATTGCAGCCTTCAAAGAGCACATCAAGTTGGTTTTGGGACAAAGTTGTAGGATATTGGTCATTAGAGTTCATGTACTGGTTAAGGTACAATGATATTAAATACACTTGTGTTAATAAATACATTGTGCTCTCAACTTTGTCTCATCAATTAACAGACATGCACCTCCATGAGACAGACACCCAGAGTAGGCACCTCTCTACAGAGTTGATGGACTCTATTGTTATTGTTTTTATTATTCTATCACTGGCAGGAGAAAATATAAACTCTCTGCTTCATGGTTTGTTTCACAGTATTATATGGGACATCATTAATTTTATTTTTTTTACTAACTTGACAAAATAATTATGCCCTAGAATGTTTGTTAACTCTTTTTACTTGACATTCCAAGATTGCCTTTCAGTCAGAATTGTTCACTGTCTTAGGTTAACATGCAGACAGGGTTTAACGGAGCCAAAGCCCATTAAGGAATTGTACACATAGGCATCCTACGGATGAACAGTTACGACATATAGATATTTCAAGCAACAACAATTTGCTGTGTGCATGTTCCCTTTGAATGAATATACCAAACAAACATGTAGAGTACTTTAATTTTCTTTCTCTTTCCTTTTTAACAGTTCTTTTGTACCACGACTTGTGCCATTCATCAACTGGGGTTACTTTCAACTGTTACACAGCCAACCTGCCATTAAAGTTGATCAGAGTTACAAGGTAAGGAAAATAATACTTTATATGGACACTAATTCTGTTAGTTTCATTGTAAGCAGGATGGAAGAAATGATATTTTGAATGCCCTAACAGGGTTAAGGGAGAAAAAAAAGCATGAATTCAAGTTTGTCCTTTGGGCAAGCTGCTCTCACATGTTTCCTGCCCAGGGCCACTCCTTGCTCTTCATTATAGTTGATGATTTTCGTAGAGAATGAGTTGCTTGGACCTTTGTCCAAGAAGAAGAATCTACAAGTACTTGACCTGGACTACCAAATGGGACTTTTTTCAAGCCCTACCTTGTACTTCAAAAAAAAAAAAATGAAAGATGTTATATTTAAACTGGCATACCTTCAGTTCCTAGTACATGTACTTAATATAGTTATTAATTAATGTTCACGTTAATTTTGTTGTTATCAGAACATTTTAGCTTTTATTGTTGTCACAAAAAATAATATTATTGTGTTTGTTATGTGGTACTTTACACACACTATTAAAAACCAGTTACGTTTATCCTTCCACTTGTTAGATCTTCAACTTTGACTGTCTGTTTAAGCAGTATGTGACTGAGTGGGCCATTCCACAGTAAGTTATGTTATTCTGGTACACAAGGGAATGAAAACAAGAGATGTTCAGGGTCTTATGCTAGTGCAAAACAGTATTAGGATAATCGCAGTACCATCTTTTATCTGTGGCCTGTTTAATAGGTATAACAGCTAGAGTCTTGGACAAAACTGTTGAGAAAATTGCTTACTTGGGGGGGGGGGGCACATTGTTTCTAAACTTCGTAGTCGACCGATTAATCTTCCCTCCCCGCCTCACCCTGGAAGCAGTGTTGTTGGGTCTTCAAAAGAAAGCTGGATCCCTAAGCATTTGTAGGAAGCAACTTTGAACTGGGAGAGGGGGTCTTCTTTACAAAAAGCCGTTGATTTGGAAATAGTTTTGTTGCATTATGTAGGGCGCATTAATGAAAACATTTTCTCAAGTAGTTTTGTCCAGGATTGTAGCATATTTGATGAACTGCCATTACCGGTTGTTCACTCATTTAAAACCAAACTTCAGAGTGGCCAGAAGCTGGGGTTCAGCTCCTATGCTGGATTTGTTTACAACCGCAAATGGATTGACCTTCTCAATAGTCTTCTTGCACAAGGACAGAAAACTGGGGTAGGCCTTACAATACTTTCACTCTCTGTGGGACATAAAATAACCACTAGGTGCATGAGCAAATCTCTGGCAGTGATCTGCACTTCTAGTATACTTTCTTGGCTTGGCAAAGTTCAGGAAGTGATGTTAATATAGGGAAAACCTCATTTTGCTTCTTCAGGATCCACAATGGCTATGTGTGAACAGAATTCATATGATTATGAGTATGAGTTGGGCAAGAGTATGAGTATTCTTCTATAGATCATGCTTGAAATCTACTTTTGAATCCTGGCTTTGTTGCCATGGTTCCCCCATTCTATTTCATTTTCTTAACGTTAATAATAAATTAGTAATGGTAACAGGACTGAGTGGAGTCCAATTCGGTCTGTAATCATACCAGTGATTAACAAAATCGGACAACCGCACAGCGGGAGTCCAATTTGTTTAATCACGAGTATGATTACAGACCGAATTGGATGACACGAAGTTCTGTTACCAATTAATCATAACTTTAACAAAATTGTGATATAATAGGCTATTTTTTAAATCAAAACACAAGGAATTCGAAATTTTGTTTTGCTAGCAGTGAAAAAAAAGCCATTTAAGCATGCACATGATGGCACGTACTGTCCAATTACTTAGGCATGACACGTACTGTCCTATTAAACTGTCCTATTAAGGCTGAAATCAGGGCAGTTGAAAACCAATCAGATTTGACAATTTTGTTATTGTTATGATTATTAAGTTAATTGTCTTTGTTCTTTCTATAGGGAGAAGACTGCTTATGTGCTCAGAAAGCTTCAAAAATGGGTAAATGAGAATGGATTTAATGCACATTTTCCTGGTAAGGCAAATACATTACTCAGCTTGTTCTGTTAATTTAAAGTGAAGTCACTGATTATCAAATTGTTCTTGGGGGCTCAGGCTATCCTGCACAAAAGGAAAAAATGAATCAATCACTCCTTTCTGCTCCAAAGAACATGAATGTTTTTAATCGATACTTTCCACCTTTTTTGTCATAGATGTGTTGTTATGTCTTAAGTTCATTAATGCAAAGCTGAAATAGCTCTATATAAGGGAATCCAATATGGTCTTGAATCTGGACTCCATACCATAGATTCGGATTCCACATACTGGATTCCAGTCTTTGTCAGTGGAACTCGGATTCTGGATTCCAGTCGTTTAGTGAGATTCCGGATTTCTTAAGCTGTATTCCAGGATTCCAAAGCCCACGATTCCGGATTCAACGAGCAAAATTTCTCCCGATTCTGGATTTAACAAGCAAACCTTTCCCACATCCTGGAATCCGGATTTCCTTACACGGGGGGACTGAAAATTGAAAACTTCAAACTTGTTGCTTAACATGTGCTGAAATCACACTTCAGTGCGTTTCTCATACGCAAGATGCTTCTTTAATACCGATCCCCAAGGAGATGAAGTTAAATATTGTTTGTAAAGAATGAATACGATACACAATAAGTTAGCTCCATGTGTCAGTATTATTATTATTATTATTATTATTATTATTATTATTAGTAAAGATACGAGTGGAATTTGGAAAACGCCGGCTTTTTATAGGTAGAGACTGTTTCCACATACATGTAATTCATGTTTCGGTTATTCATAGTTGCGGCCATAGAAACTGTTACCACCTTTAAAAGCTTTAGGGGAGCTGACTAATTATCAGTTTCTCTACCGTAGTCATTTTGTTTTAAATAAAGCTTGCCTTTTTTTTTCATTCTTCTTGAATCCTTCACGTAAGCAAATTTTTCTTGAGTTTCTGAAATTGTTTTCAAGAGCTAGACGACTTGTAGAATTTCGTGACTGCAACAAATAAAGTACAGTATTGTCTTTTGTATTTTGTAAGTGTTACTATGCATAGATGAAACTCTTGCTAGTGATGATCAATATGAACCGATCTCATGGTATTCTTTTAACGTAATAGTTCAGGGGCAACTATTTTGATCTTGAGTGAAAAGATAACGAGGAGCATTCGTTTTGGCGAATCTTTATTTGTTTACAGTCTTTGCCTCATTATCATCTTTTTTTTTATTTTACTCGTGGTTATTTCTTTCGTCGTCTGGATCTTCGTGTAAGAAAAGTAGCTCCTGAAAACAATTATTAGCCTTGTGTCCAAACGATTTGACTTAACTATTGTATCTGGAAAAATAATTCTGAAGAAAAAAAGCCAGATTCAAACCGTTGTAGTTAATCTACGCCATCTCCAGACTAGTACTATAACACATTTTTTTTGTCTTTTCTTATTTTAGTCGAAGTAAGGTTTGTGAAAAAAGATGATATTTACATGAGCCCATGTTATGGGCAGGACGTGTGCTTCATCAACATTATATCGTTCAGGTATAGTGAAAATGCAGAGATAACTTTACTTTTTTAACTTTGTAAAAGTTGCTAATTTTAAGGGGCTGCATGTGTTAATGAAGTATAGTCCATTGTGTCAAATTCCTAATTATTTCAGTGGTATAAATTAAGCGGATCGCTTTAGCCTTATAATCTAATATTACAAAGAATAAAGATGAAGGTCTAATAACTTGTCAGGCTTAACAGTAAACCCATTTGCGACCTGTTGTAATTTCCTTTCGTTTTGTGTCTCCAGTCATTGTGTATTTATGCTTAATATGATACATAAGCTATGTTATTTAGATTTGCCGTCACTGTTTTTTAAAAGCGGTGGTTGGTGGCGAGCCTATAATCCACTTTTTACTGTTCTTCGCTTCTACAGGCCTTATGACAAATTTATTCCTCATGAAAGTTACTGGAGGTACTATGAAGAGCTTATGATGTCAGTGGGCGGCAGACCGCACTGGGCTAAGGTAAGGCAGCACAATTGCCAAAGTTTGTACAAAAGAAATGAATTGCTCCATTCTGCGATTGGCTTAAAGTTCTCGTACCACGTTTTCGGCTGAACCAATTGGAACTCTTTCCCACACGTTTTCCCGCGCTTCGCGGCTGCTGCGTATCTCTGCTTTGAGTTTTGATTGGTTTATTTGATTGCCTACGTCTGTTCTGGTTGGCCAGTTGCTGCATTCGGTGCCACCTTCTCACCCAATCAGAAGATAAGTCAGCTTTGATCTAAAGATGTGTCGAAAGTTTTCTCTGAACACGTGGTAATACATTTTTCGATGCGATAACGAGTTCAACAAATCTTATTATTTTTCATCAAAAATATTTGGCCGTTTCTGAGCTTTTGTGATTGGCTCCAATCCCCCGGAAGATGTGAGCAACAATCGATTCGATGGTACATTTGATTGGAAACGAAGCTGCTTGGGCAAAAGTGAGCTAAAAAAATGGCGTTCACGGCTATTCGAAGACGAAGTAGCTGAACTTCTGACTTAAACTGAATGGAAGAAATGCAAGAATGCGCAAAACATATTGCTCGATGGATTTTATCTACTTTTTGAGGAGTATCTGCGAGATACAACATCTGTTTGTATCCTGAAACCGTGCCGAGAAATAGGCCAAAGCTTTGAAGAAGGTCTACGAGGAGGTAAGCGTGTTAAGAACTGAGAAATATTTTGAATGAACAATAAAACTATTGAATTCGGCTGTCGTACGATGTGAAGGATTATGCAGATCTCGGTGGATAACATCCTCCTCGATCTGCATAATTCTACATCCTACTCAGCCTCATTCAATAATTGTTAATCATTGTTAATTTGTTTCTGCCCTGTTTTCTTGATGAAGGGCCAACCACTCATGTTGTTATCGGTTTACGTAAATTAACAACCGTGCTGTTTTTTTTTTCTTTATTAGGCCCACGAATTGACCGCTGTCGAGATTGAAAGAATGTTCCCTAAATTTAACGAGTTTCGTCAAATCTGCGAAAAGTTAGACCCGCACGGCACCTTCCGCAATGGATATGTGGATAAAGTGATTTTTGCTCCGCCCTCACAACCCGCTCAACATAATAAACCAAGCTCAATCGGCTCTGAAGAACAACGTGATCGCCACTACGATTCTCACCCAGTGGGACCGGGTCTGTAAGAATCCGAAAAAAGCCGAAACCTTAACAGGAGACAGCTCAAGCAAAAGCCAATACAGTTAACGTGTATAAAGTTGACACTCCCAAGACTGTCGCTCAGTGGTATCCGCCAGTAAATTATGAAGTCTTTAGCTTGCAGAGCAGACGTTGTTTTATCGCATTTTTTAGGCAAGCGTAGGCAAGCGCGAAAAGCCGAGGGCGTAAGACACGCGCGACGCAGGAAGGAGATTCACACCCGCTTTGCGCTTCCCTCGCCCTAAAAACGCGAAAAAATAGCGCTTTTCTGCCGGCTATGGAGTCTTCGAAGGTGGTTATAATTTTTGAGTATGGAGGAGATCTTATGTCGTGGCCATATATATGTAACCACTTTACAAATGCTTTCTTATGGTGCTACTTGTTTTTCAGCATTTAACGAAATGAATTTTGGAAATGTTGTTGTATTTTGTCTTCTGGTCAACTTGGGAATCCGCTAAACACAAGTTCCATTCATATAGTTAGGAAGTAATAGATAATGCATGTCAACTGTTTAATGCCGTCGGCATGGAGTGGATTAGCCTTTAGGGGGTCTTGCAGACGTTCTACTATAAACAATAATGCTATGATTTTATACCTTAGCTGTGCATGGCTTTTGAATAACTGCTCATTTAATGTGGTTTAGTTGCAATATGTGCCCCACATACAGTTCAACTTAGGTCACAGACTTTCGCGTCACTCTAGGGACGGGGTAGGGAACTGTTGTTTTGGCTTCTGATCCAGTGGTCCTAGGGTGCTTAGCAAAAGTCAGAACTGGTCGGTCGAACAGGTCATTTTAAAAAGAGATATTGATCTTTTCTGGAAATTTTCGCTAGAATCTATCACTGCCGTACATACCATGTATGTAGGTATAGACTTATCTGTCTCACAAGTCCTTAGTAATACTGGAATTCTCTTAGCGACTAGCCGGTTCCAGGCTCTCGGTCAGTGTGGACGAGCGAGCGGTAAAAAAGACCTCTCCCTCTCTCCCCAGTTTTCTGGCGGCTTTTTGCACATTTTTCTCGATCCGTTTCCCCCACCATTTTGGAGCCTGGAACAGGCTCCTTTACGACTGACTGGACTGACCCTGACCGGCCAGTTCTGACAAATGGTAAACGTTGTTGTTAAAAAGCCATAATCTTTTTCCTGCAATATTACCATCCTACGCCCACAGGGTTACGAGTGCCTGGGCATATTAGAACAATGCAAATAGTAAATTGTTGAATAAAACGTAGATACTTTAAATAGGTACTGACAAAACAACAACAATTTGGGCTGTTGTTAATGTGGTAGAGGCAAATGGTTGTTTTGGGAGACACCAAAAAATTCCGATATTTTGTGAACCTAGTTTGAAAATTGTTTTCTCATTTAACTAATATGTTTGTTTTGTTTTGTAATTTGTTGATTACTGGCCACTGAAGAATTATGTCACAAGCTGCCCAAAAGTCTTTCGCATGCCATGAGGCTTAAATCTTCCGTGCGAAATTCAGGAGAAAGTTTGCCGTCCACGCAGTAGTCCCCTAGCTATGCAGCCGTTCTTTGTGTAGTCACGCAACACTCGGAGGAGCGCTGTGTGACGACGAAAAAACAAATTAAAGTGCCCGCGAGCAGGAATAATTTGAATGACGAATGGCGTTTCTAGTGCCAGCATACGTTGTGTTCTTCTTATCAGTTGGCCAATTTTGTGTCCATAGTTTTCAGCCAAAGAATGTTTAACGAGGCATAATTAAGGTAAAAAATCATGTTCTTTTCCCTGGTATTAAGTAATACTTATTTGCAATATTTATCTTACAGGTAATATTGACTTATCTTGGTGCTTGCTTGTACTGATCAGGAGCATATAACCCTTTTGAGGGTTATGTGCTTCTGTCCTGATGTATGGAATCTTTAAATTTAGAACTATTTATGGCAGGCACAGTTAAAATATCACATCAAATATTGAAAACATTGCCGAGTTACATTCCAGAAATAGTCAAATTTTGTTAAACTTAAATAAGTTGTCAACTTGAAGAATCCCTACAATAAAATCTTTTATTGCTGTCTCATGTTTTTCTTGATTTTTCCTAGTTTCTTTTCTGATCCTGAGGCAACCTTGTTCCCAGGGCTTTCGCGAGCTGATTGGGATAAGACCAAAAAAAAGATGTGGGAGGTTTCAGTCGTTTTAACGATGGACTTCCACTGCTGGATAGCCTTTGCGCGCAAGGGCGTTACCTTACAGTTGCTTCAAATGAAGTATTGGCGATTTATGAGAGGTCGCGTTGAGCGCGGCTTGTCTTTACGTCGGCCTCCAGCACGCACGCAAAGCCAGATAAAGATTGCAGTGGTACTACACACGTAAAAATTGCGCGACGGTGGGAATGCGTTTATTTAGGTTGAAAACAACACAGAGGTACATCTGACTACTAAAGTGTTGTGACAACACAAGAAAACTGTTAAGAGAAATAAGCGTTAATATTTCGGTTAAATTCTAAACCATTTTCAAAACTAGGAAGACGTTTTACAAACTTCCTGAGCTAACTGTACAATCATTATTCAATGGTACCGTTTTATTCGCTCTCGGGTTGTAATTTAGCTCGGCAGGTTTGCGAAAAATTTTCATACTTTAAGAATGGTATAAAACAATCACTCGGGATTTCTTGTGTTCCTTGAATATTTCAAAACGAGCAAGATATTCTTCAGGGTTGTTTCATCCTGCATGTTTCTCATCTTATTGACGGGAATTGTTTATGCACTCATAGCTTCCGCAAACTCTTAAATGGTCTTAAAGTGGATACGTACTTACCTTAAATAAATCAGGCTCTATTTTCGTTTCTCGTGGCAAACCACATAAGAGAGGTAGTGTGAGGGTTGCTAAAATTGGGCCAGATCTTATGTAAGTATGTTTGTGCGGCGGATAAATATAGTGAGTTCGCGTTTAGGTTGTACGCATACAAACGTTCAGGAACTGAAGCGGATTCGTTTGTTCTTCGACCCGAGCTCCTAAGAACACAAAGTTGAGGTAATTCAGTTTATTTTTTCTATAGAGGGTATTTTAATCCTCTCGTTTTGTGCGACTCGAATACGTGTCTTGCTGTTTTCTATCGTGAAATCTGTGGTAGAATTTTTACGAAGCTTCCTTATAAAGACACTGAAAAACATATGACTGCCACATATGGTCGCTTATCTCATTCGAGGCATGTTGCGCCCCTAAGAAATGACGTATTATTGGTTACCCAACCTTTCTTTTTTGAATGACGTCATGGGACGTGCTTCGTTGCATATCCTCACAATTTCGAGTTACTTCTTTTGGGGTTAAGTAAGGACTGTGAACAAAAGAAGAAAAATCCCCTGCAGATAATTCCTTAGTGTGATAGAAACTCGTCCGCGTGTAAAGCATATTTGTTCACGCTATGTTTTTATTAAAGCACCCCATGATGATAAATTGGGTAGATAAGATTCAAAAGAACGACAAGAATACTGCATCCAAAATAGGTTTTCCGAAATATTACGGGAAAGGTTCTATGTCCTTGTGGCAAATATTTAGTTTACCGAGGCAATACTGAGTGTTTTGATGTTACAAAGGAGTTGAAATATAATTAGAATATTTATATCAATTGTTGAAATAACTTAAATGTCACTGGAGCTATGAATATTTATGATGTCATAGTTTGCATCGACTACCGGACCTCGTGAGGCTTGTTTACTTGTCCGCTCATGCAGTAATTTGAGTCTTTGAGGAGGAGGAAACAGTTTTTGTGATCAAAATGAAGGCTGAAAGCGACTCAGGTACGTTTTGTTTTAAAGTTTTCAGAAATCGGGTTGGATATTATGTTAACGCGAATGCTCTCGTTCAATATCGCCGCGTTTTGCTGCGTTCGTGTCCCGTTTCAATGGCGGTCGTTCTTCTTACCTGTTCGTCGAATTCTTAATTTTTAAACAATTTTTTACATGAAATAGGACTGACAGCCACCACGTTAATTGAATTTGAAAATAGTTTTTTAAGGCGGGAACATCAAGTACGTTTTTATTTGACAGAATTTGTTATTTTTTCGATAACTTTTGTTGTTTTCTCTCACATAACTGTTTCTCCCGAAATCTAAACAGCGATGTCAACAAGGCGTGATAATGTGTTTATAAAGCAGAGTAAATGTTAGGAAAAAGGGAGATTTATTGTAAATTTTGCTTTGTGTTTCTGTGCGCCTGAACAAAATGCCGAAAGAAAAGCGTATGTTGCTTGTTTGTGGGCATATCATTGAACGCGATTTGATCGAGACATGTAAAATGATCACTGTTTAAACTTTCAGCCGTTTAGGCTTCCGCCGCCGCCGTCGCTTTGAATTTTTTATAGTTTTATTGATAATTTCATTATGAACTGTTGAAAGAAATATTGAGGTCTTAGAAAAGAGCGTGCAAAGAGCTAGTATCTTGAGCAATCGGTCTTCGTGAAATCGAACAAATAAGTTGGAGGACGACAAATGGGGGGATTAGTGTAAACTGCGTGCTCATTGTACGTACTTTGTCGAGGCCCCTGTTGCGAAATTAGAGAGGCTTAATGCGAAAGAATTAATTAACGCTCGCCTAAGTATCTTGGCTTCATTTCAAACGTTGTGCTACGGCCCTTCCAAACTCATTTGACCGAAGTAAACTCGATTTTAGCGCACATTAGCACATCTAGGTAATAGTGAGCCTGACCGGGGCAGGAGAAGGGGGGGGGGATTAAATTTTCCTAGAACTTAGCTCAGCTTGGCCCAGAAGAACAGCAAAGAAATCCAGATGTTCTCATACATTTTTTAGAAAATTTTCTCCATACCATGAACTCAGTCAATAGAGAAAAAATTACTCTGAGCAGCCAGGATATATATATTTTCCATTAATATAAGGCATACTGCGACTAGATCCATTGAGATACATATTGGATACATCTCCCTTGCAAAACCCTACAAAACCCTGCAGGGCCAAGAGGCCTAACTTAGAAAATTTTTGTTCAATGGGCCCACTTGACAATATAATTATTGAGAGGGAAACAACTCTATATTTAAATTTGTGGTTAATGATGTGGGAAATTTTCTTTTGGAATACTCCCAAGAGGAAAAAGCTCAACTGATATAACTAATGTAAAGTTGAGGTTTTAGGATGGAGAAAGGTTTATGCAGCATTTCACCTTGACTGTATGTTGTTAAACATGGCGCAAGGTTTATATAGTTTCACATTGTCCGATGACTGACGTAATTGTCGGCATCTCAGAGGTAAGTATTAAATTCCACTTAAGTGACATAAAAGAATCTTATGACATCTATGCCCAATTAAGCTGACTCATCAAATTCTCTTTGTAGATGTTATGGATTCCAGTACGCTTAAACGAACTATATTGTATGAGCCTCAGCCTTATGTGCCATCCAACCCAATTCATGAAAACGATATTGAGAGACTGCTTTCAGTAGAGAGTGAGAGCGTAGAAGGAGCGTGGTCTCGAGTTAAGAAAACCAAGGATGCAGAGGTCTGGAGGAGAGATTCAAATGAAGATGGTCATCCACCGATAACAAAGGTGATTATATAGTCAATAACTGATGTGAATTAAATTTCCATGCAGTAGCTAACCCTTGAAGAAGAATTTTTTTGTCATAATAAAATTTCTTAATGTTCAGGAAAGGGTTTAGCCTGCAAATTTATGCAGACTTTCCGGTCATTGCTTCTCATAAATATGACCGGAAATACATCTGCATTTGCAGGCTAGAATTAGGTTTCAGGAAGACGGGAAATTTTGTTCTTTTTCCTTACAAATTTACATTTTTCTTTGTAAGAACCTTTTGTTTGATGTCATGAATTTCCTTTTTCTGCTCTGTGTTTTCTGAAAATTGTTTTTTTCTTTCAAAAAATAATTAGCCATTGAGATTACTTGTATTTTCAACAACTTTTATTTTAAAGAGTTCAACATTTTACTGTGTACACACTGTATTAAGATAATACATTTGAACGAGAATCCTCTTAATAAGCCATATCCTAACCTTTAATTTGTCAGAGACCAAAAATTTACTCTGAACTTTGAGAACTTGCTCTTAGTTCATTCCTCACAGTCACTGATTTGTTAATATTTGTTAATATTTCTATAATATTATTTTTCTATCAATATTTCTATTTTTAATATCAAAGGCTGTACTTCGACTAGAGGATGTCCCTTTCCAGAAAGGTAAGTGATTTAATAAATTAATACTTGATGGTAATGAACAGGAACCATTAAAAAGTATGAAATCAGTGTAAACCAGACTATGTTGGGATTATACTTTAGATCATAATTCCCACCATGACCAGTAATTTACATTGTAGCCCACAAAAAAGGATAGATTTACAAGTAATGCAAATAAACATAACAATTAAGTAAGTAACCCAACTGTGAATAGCATTAAACCAGTTGGCACCTCATTCATAATCATGCATAATTTGAACAAATTTAAATAATTTTAGTTTATGTCATGGCATTAGCTGAACCTGGGACTTCTAGATTACAAATCGACCATAATGCTATAACTGCTTGAATGGCCAATATTTTACGTACTCATTTTCCATGTTTATAAAGTGCTTATACTTACGTTGCTTTTTTTTTTTATCTTAGCGGTCAAACTTATGACAGACTGGAAGCTACGTCAGGAATGGGACAAAACTGCCACTGTTGTTGATGTCTTGGACAGAATAGGGAACTTTAAAGTTGTGTACAAGTAAGAAGTTTTTAATGTCTTGTTCCAGGTTTTCCTTTAATATATATATGGTAGTACATTTATTTTTTTTAATCATCTTTGTATTTATGCTCATGAAACCATGGTTACTATTGTGTACTTTAAATTTATATAGGTCATTTTCAGCTTTAGAACTCAATACATGTACTTGAGTAGCCAGATGTCTGAAAAATCGCATGTTATTTTTTTTGCTTTTAACTAATGTTTCATATAAAACTAATAATAAATAAGAGGTACCGAAGTATTGCACGACTTTTCATTTTTTCTCTTTCTAAATTTTTTGCATTTCCTCTCTTGAGGATAGGTGCAGAGATTTTAATAGCTAGCCAATTACACAAAATTATCTGTTTGCATTTATCTTGTGTGTTAATTGTTTTTTTCTTTCAACAGCCGTCTGAAGATGCCACTGTTTTGCACCAACAGAGACGTTGTCTTGGCTTCCTTAGAGCGTTATGACTCAGACCAGCGGTGTTACATCTTGGCGCTTCGCAGCACAGAACATCCTTTGATGCAGCAGTCTCACAATTCATCCAAAATTGTTAGGTACATAATACACTAGAAATAAATTTTTAAGTGGTCCATGCTAGATCACCGGTTTTCAAAGTCGCATTTTGGCAAACTGAAATTGTAGAATGCTCACTCACCAGATATAAAATCTTGGTGGCCAGAACAAAAAAAGGATACTTTATGCAACACAACATGGACGACTTTCGACTATTACAATTGCATTTGGTGGTCCATGCAACATCTCAAAGTTCTTTTTATCTAGACAGCTAGGATAAAAGGGACGAGTAACATGATAGCAAATATTTATCTCTCATTTACCTTTTATAGAAAGACCATAAATACAACTAATAAAAGCACAGTGACTACGGTTTGGCAGAATTGACTGCCAAATACAGACCAACTTTCCCTGCAGAACAGAAGCTTCCAAATGTTTTTGTACTCGGTATGGCAACCAAAGTGTGTGTAACTTGGACTTGCTTAATGGGTGGGGGTGGCTGCAGCAGAATGTTTGGTGTGCAAGAAATTAAATTCTCCTTTCAAGACATTTTTAATTAATTAATATTTAGATATAATTAATAGTTAGTAGTCTATAATATACTCTACCTACCTTAATTTATTATTGGTACTTGCATACATGTAAGAGAAACTGGAGACCTATCAATCAACATAAGCATGAATGTTTTAATTAATGAACTCTGGAAGGACAGGGTGTAGCAGCTTCCACCAACTTGCGTAATAATCTGTATATTAAGGATGATTGCATCAGACGAGAAAATTTCACCACCAAACCTTGTTTGTCAACTGACTTCAACTCTTTGTAGTTGCAGTTTTTGTGCGCAAGTATTCTTTTCAACTCTACTGCCCGGGGGATTTATTTACAATGGGTTAACAGTTGCTAATTGTTTAATTCCAAAACATGGTTGGTGGTGAAATTTGCTTGTGTAGGGTGCAAAGAAAGTTATTTTTACAGCTTGCCATTCGGGCCAGCTGGGGCTAACCCCAAAAACTTTTTGATGAGCAGAATTGATTTCACAGTTCTTCTGTAATTTGAATTTCTCAGAAAAGTTCACTTGCCCGTCGGACAAGTTAAGAAGAGAATTTACTAACTCGATAGCAAAATCCACTGGCCCCGGGCTATCGGACACTACTTTCTTTGCACGCTGTTGTGTGACATTAACATGCATATGAGGGCTATTTATTCAACCTTAATAATGCAGTTTCTTCTTTCCATTCAAAGAGCTGAGACCATCCTATCAGGCACTATTATACGGCCAGTAGATGATGGCTCTGAGTCCTCTACAGTCACCATTGTCACTCAGATGAAGCTGAAAGGTTCTGCTCCACAGTTTGTGAAAAACAGCTACATAGCTGACAACCCTGTGAAACGGATGCACATGCTGAGGAAGTTCTACATCAAACACAAAGATGACAAGCAAAGAAATTTGAGCTTAAGTGATAGTTCAACTGATATCAAAATGAGTCCATTTAACAGTCCTAAAAGACCAAAGTCGTCTACCTCCACAGCAGGAAGTATAGATAAGGCAATGTATTAGAATCTTACTGAAGTATTTAAACAATAGTTATTGGATAAGGTTTTTGTGATATCTGTAAAATGAAGGTTGAGGTAGGTGTTATCAACATTGGCCTTCGTCTTGGTTGACAACACTTACCGAGACCTTGATTATTTTGGATATCACAGAAACCAAATCTAATACATTGTTTTATTATACATTGTTTCGAAGAAAAACACACTCTGTCACACGTAACACAGTTTGACATTGCTCTTTAAAATCAAGCATTGCATGCGCAACCTACAGATTAGTCAGTAATAAATCTGCTAGCAGATAACTAAGGGACTGACCATTAGAAACCTTATGGGAGGGGGGGGGGAGTACAAAAAAAGTATTCGTGCAATGGAAAATTAAATTGAAAAAAATTCATGCACGTCAATTAACCCTAAAAAAATATTCATGCTATCGCCTAAAATAAATTCATACAAGGAATTTGATGACGAAAAAATCCCGGTGGCTCAAAAATTCCCATCCCCCCATAACTTTTCTAATGGTCCATCCCTAACTAGTCTGTAGGTTACTCTGATTCCCTTAACTTTAGGCTTTTAGCCAATGAGAAGAGGGTTAGCAGGGTGCAAGGAAAGTCATTTTTAAAGATCGCCATTCGGGCAAGCGAAAGCTAGCACATACTAGCCCAAACATCATTTCAACTAGCCTGTAATTTGAATTCCTCAAAAAATTTCACTTGCCCGTCAGGCAAGTTAAGAACAAAATTCCCTAGCCCGATAGCAAAATCCACTAGCCCTGGGCTATCAGACACTACTTTCTTTGCACACTGGGTTAGTATGCAGTATGTATAATGATAATATTGCAACTTAGTTTAGCCAAGTAAGTTGTTGGCTGTTATTTATTAAGAATATAGTAAGATATTTGTAATAGCACGTACTAGATGGGAATTCATTGATGTCCGTGCAGAAAATGTTCTGTTAGCTTTTTAGTGGTGGTTTTTAGCAAGAGGTTTTATTTTTCAGAACATTATAATTCAACCTCTTAATTTCATACAGTGAATAATTTTTATTGGGTTAGTCCAGGAAGTAATTATTAAGCTTTTTTATGTAAAACTTCTTGTGCTTGCCACCCTGTTGTTACCTACTGCAGCTATCAGATTGTGATTCAAAAGTCAGAGAAACGCACCAAATATGAGTTTGAGATTAGTCTGACAGTTTAATCGTTTATACGGTTTGTTTTTCGACGCTTTTCTCCCCAGGATTATTCTAAAGGTAGTTTCCAATTGAATTTCGCGATTCCGCAGGTAATGCGTGCGTCGTTCTGATTGGCTAAAAAGATCACGCAGTACTCATTCAGCCTATCAGAAGCAGAATCAAAACCAGGCGTGGCTTGCGCACACGCGCTTTTCCCACGTTTGACCGCGATTGGTTCCTTTGATTGTCAGCTCTTGTTATGATTGGCCAAAGTGACTGCTTTGAATGTGTATATCCTTAATAGACCGTTCTTGTATTCTTGTGATCAAAGGAATCGATTCGTAGCCAGTTTCAGGCGTTCAGATAGGGGAGTCGGAGAGCTGCGAGAAATAGCCGATGCGGAGAGTTAAAAAAGTGCTGTTTTCCTTCACACTAACTACCGACTCGAAGCTTAGAGTGGCAAAATACAATGATTTTATGCAACTGTCTACTTAGGTCTCGACCTCGTTTCGTCATTCTTTTTCAATTGAGCGGAATGCGGGCAAGGTCTATAGGGATGTTTTGGGGTTCTTAGTTCTTTTTTTTGGTACATCCCGTAATGTACATTTCATTTTAATCATTTTACGATTAAGCGCAATTTTTTAGTTTTCTTCTAATGTGTTCTTGGGCAATTTCAGTGGATCTGTACTTTTACTGGTGAAGATTTCCTAATTACTCTTGTAGAAAAGATGCCATGTGTTATGCAAGGATTTAGTTTAGTTGTCATTCATGTTGTTGTTGTTGTTATTTTAACTGTGTTTGACGTTGCCGTTGTCGCTGTTGTTCTACTTGCTGTTTTTAAACTTGTGTATGGCTGCATTATTGAATAATCGTTTCATTGTTAAACATGATAGGAAGTATATATATATTTAATATCAGTAAAAACTCAGTATTTCTAGTGATTGTTCATATTGTATAACATTTAAGGAAATTTATTGCTAAATTTTCGACACAACACTTGAAAATTCGGTGTTATAAAGTCGCTGGGTAGCGAATTATTTACCGGGTAAAGTTCGAATTTTTCATAGGCTAGAAAAGGAGAGCTACAATGTCCTTTAATATTTGCCTGATATTTGGCAGCTGATCGCTACGAACTAAGGATAATGATAAAATAAGGATTTTGGCGAGTCATTTCCGTTTAATTTGCTGAAAAATGAAATTGGACAACCGATCGACAATTCACCGATCAGAAAAGCAAGTTGTTGGTATTTGAGCTTTTTAAAATTACCTTTCCAGTAAAACTTTTTTTAAACTCAAATAATACAAATAACTCCTTTGAAAACCAAGGTTTTCCAACAGTTTCGAAAATAGACTTCTGCCGCATCCCTATAAACAAAGGCACCATCTCAAGTCTTAAAATGACAAATACAGTTATTTGTATGAAAATAGCCACCCAAATGTCGATCGCGTCTCATTGTGTGTGTTCACTCGGGCGGAATGTGGGTTAGGTCCAGCCTAGTCCCTAGGCTTTCTGGGCGGCTCGGTCAGTCTTGGACTCTACTGTGAACTGTGACGTCATCGACAGAGACTCGCCCTCTCATTCACCGCAGACTTCGCGCGGACAACGGGGCAAGAGAGAAAGCCTACGAAATAGACTGGGCTAGGTCTATTCTGTGTTATCACTCACGTGGCCAGCATATATGCAAATTTTTGGAACAAAAGAAAGCGTTTACATAAGAAAAGAGTTCAACTCCCACAGGATTGGTTTGGGAAACAAACATGGCCGCCGTTTCATTGTTTTGGGACACAAATATGGCCGCCATGACGTCATGTGAAAACACACAATTAGTCGAATTCGTATTAATAGGGAATTACAAAGAATTCTAACTCTAAACGATCATCTCGAAAGGAAATCTAAATGATATTGTAAATCTTCTCTGATGTTATAATGTAAACACGTTTAATTACCTGGGAGGCGAAATTAGTATTGGGTTTAGTTTAGGTTTGATAATGATAATTATGTGAAGGATTTTTCACTTGTATAAATTTTGCTTCTCTTCAGTGAACCTAATTCGATAATATTATTAACATGTTGCTATGCTTACGTACTGTGATAATGGCGGGACATAGAAAACATAGCTTTTGGTCTTTGAATTATTAGTTATACTATACGTGTAAGCACTATTACAAGTACTTGTTGTAGATTTAAAAAGTACGAAATAAAATAAGTCATCTGATAAGATGAATGTGAGAATGTGAATGTGAGAATGTGAATAGCTTCTGGTAGACTGTAATTTCATGCCGCTTGCTCATGTTGGTCAAAAGGGCCGGGGTGCCTACCTTCAGCTTACACACTCGACCTTCACCGCCAGAATCGGCGTGACGAAGTTTGCGCACTCTGTTTACATACTTCCAAATTAAACTGATCCCCTTATTCAAAGGACCAGTCTCTTTCACGTATTTGGCAAGTTTATAAGATGGAAAAAGGTTTATGCTGATCCTTAGACTTTTATACATTCTAGGTCGATCCGAGCGATATTATCACTTCACTGCCAGCCCTCGATTGCTTCCGATGTACTACAGATTCCCAACATTGATGACCCACTTTTTCATGTTACAAAGTCGCCCAGTCTTTCACCTTCATCTTTGCTCTATTAAGTTGAACTTTCACATAATGAAGGTGGGCCGCTGAAGGTTAGTCGTTGTCAGGCGAAGTCTCGAGAGACAAGCTTGTGCGCCCTTGTCAATCCATAGTGGTGCAACGTCTTGTGTGGCTTTATAAGCCAACGCGCGAGTGGCAGTCTCTACTGCACAAGCTGCACGTGAAGTTGGAGGAGGGGGCGTGGGGGACAGAGTGGAGCTGTTTTGTGGCGAGCGCGCTTCTCCTCAGCTTTCTGATGACGTTTCACGTCTGCCTTCTCAATACCTTCTTTCATTGTCCGTCTCCAGCAGGCATGATCACTGAGCATATTCCCAATTGTTTGGATCAATTTCTCATGCTTTGAGGTCACGTCGGCGTGCGTCCTTAAACCGCAGAGCGGGGGGCTCGACCTTCCTGACTCCTGTCCCCAGTTGTCCGTATAGAATTTCCTTGGGGATGCGTCTATCACCCATAGGATGAAGATGCCTGAGCTGTCTGGTCAGGTGGCGTTGACTGAGGAGGGAGTGCATATGGGAATTCCAGCACATGACAGTATTTCACTGTTGGTGATGGGGTTTTTCTTCATGCGCTTATAGGCATCGCAGATGGAAAGAGTTCAAGCGGCGTTCCTGTCTCGTGTCAGGAGTAGTCTATGAGCTAAGTATGTAAAGAGGCCCTAGAAAATGAATTTCGTTGCACCCCCTGCTATATTTCTCTCAATAGCATAAAATTATAGCCAGGGCAATGTCTAAGGAATACGTAAAGGCGTTTTAAATTAACTTGCCAGTGTGACATCCTGGCGAAATCGGCCATTTTTTCCAGGTACCCTTATGCCTCCCCCTTATGCTAATAGAAACTTGAATTCTGTCATGGAGTTTTTTCAAACAATTGCACACATGTAAAATGTTGAATATTTATCCAACACACCGTAACAAGGCTATTATCGAAAATTGGTCACAATGTTACCTAAATTAAGAAAAATCATTGGTTCTGGTCATATATTCAGAGGGGCGTGATTTACACACCTTACTATTTCCTTAAGACTTATTTTTGAAGCCCCTGCTCTTCTAAACGACTTCAAGAAAGGGTCATTAGAGTGGTTTTCGTTTGAGTGTCGTAAAACCAAAACCAAAGTAATTACTCTGGCCAATCACATAGGACACAGACAATACATTGAACCAATCAAAACTCGAAGTAATTACATGTGGCTGACGCAAAAGAGCGCGTCACAACTGGCTTTGGTTTTACTTCTGATTGGATGAAAAGGTGGCGCGAATCTTTTAAGCCAATCGCATCGTGTAGAAAGTGCAAAACCAATTACTTTTCGACACTCAAATGAAAACCGCTCTACAAGGAGAGAGGTGAGTAAACCTATATAAAATACAAATGTGAATTACAGAATAAATGCTACACGTGGTACTACTGAGTAGCAAAACAAAAAGTGATATGCCCGTTAGAGAAAGTATAATGATAACAAGGTATTACTTAAAACATCGAGTACATGTACATAAAAGACTAACCGTACGCAGCGAATAACCTAGCCCTTGCATCATTTTTCCCGTTTTTCTGTGTTGTCTGGATTAATTTCTGTTTATCAGCGTAAATATATTGTAACAAATAATATAATATCTACTGGGCATAATTTACTCCCAGTCTTATGCTTCTTTAATTTGTTCTGAAAGTTATCTTGTGAATTGAAAAAGTCCTATAGTTACGGCTAATATCAAACATTTCTGGAAAAAAATGTTTATCTCTTCCAAAATTGCAGCTCGTTTATATTGTATTTGATGGTTACGAACACCAGTATACCATCAATGAAGGAGAGCCACAACAGCGAGAAATCAGCAGCGCACTTGAAACGCAGATAAATTCTGCATGGTAAGACTCCTATCCCAATGCAAGAGGCCAAGTATATAAGCAACCCTGGTAACAAGAGCCTCTACGTGTGGATTCTCTTTTGGTGTTGATAAGTTCGAGTGGGATAAAGTATATAGCCTACGACTAAAGACACCAAATAGAGCCCACCTCGGTCGTTATTACGACCCAAGCGTAAAAATCTCTTAGTCATTTCATTATTTTTAAGACCCCGTTAATGCGACCACGTCATGATTACGACCAGAATTTTATGACCCAACGGTGATCGAATTAACGAGGTTCCACTGTATACGTAGTTAATTATTAAGTTGCCTGTGCGGGAACGAAGGCAGAGACGGAAACAGGAAACCCGCTTCGATCCGACCGCTTCCAATCTGAAGGTCAAAATTATATTCATCCGACCTTAAAAAGTACTGTAATGATCGACAAGAACCTTCATCTTTTGTATGGGAGACATTATAGCTAGGGAGGCCTTTCTCATTGTTTCCCATCACCCCCTGCTCTCGTCCGTCCACTCTTGTCGCCCGATCCAGCATTCCGCACACGCTCCTCGTGTAGCTCACACCGCGCGCGCAAGCTACGTATGACTTATCCAGATAAGCATCTAAATTATTCACATGGATTGACAACCGTAACAATGCAGACTGCCCAGCCATATCGAGATTATAAAATACCTTCGCGAAAAAACAAGTGCTAGTTACACATTAATTGTTCATGCCCGCCATTCCCATAATACCACAGTTAGCATCACGCAAGACGCACACGAAAGCGCCAGTCTCTAGATTGAATGTAGTAGAGTATTTACTCGGGATAAGGTAAGAACCTTGTAATTTTATCTTATCAGACGACGCTTAAGCATTATTCGTATCGATTCGTTTTCTTTGAAGAAATATGAACAGTAAAATAGCAAGTTAAAGCAGCATTTGTTTTTCTTCGCGTGATGGCGGAGGCAACTGTTTACACACGGAATCTAACTCGCGTGCGCGCTAATTTCCTGCAACGAAAATTCAAGCATTTAGATAAATAGGGAGAGCTAATACTCCAGGTAGGTTAAATATTTTAGTAAGCTGCACATAGCTTGTGTTTAATCAACTCAGCAGGCAAAATAGCAAGAATCCGTGGCTTTAAAATGATTAGAGCATGACGAACAAGTTAGGTGTTTAATTTACGGCGCAGAGCGGAGATTTAAAACCGTTAATGACTCATAATTATAATGTTATGACCTCAACACGATTTATCTAGTGATTCTTTAATAAATTGGTAAGTGTAAACGTTAAAAGGCGCAAATATCTTGATATTTTGCTGCATAATTTTGAATTCCTGCAAAACACGGTTTGATCACGAAAGTTCTTTGTGGTGGTTCACTTGAGCGTGTCTCTAACATTGACTCAAAAGGCCCGCAAACTACGCCCTTCTAACATATCTGAAAAAGTTCGAAATCTAGGTTAACGGGAAAATTATCTTTATCCGACACTAAGAGAAGTAGTGCAATGATCGATAGAAACCTGATAGGAGAGTCAAATTGATTTTAACGAAAGGTCACTTTAGGTTAATTCGAACTTTTCAGTTCGTGTGTAGTTTAGAAATCAATACAGGAATAAACGTCACAAGGCAATGTTTGCCCTATACTAACCGTGCCATAGAATTGCTTTTCTATATGTCATGGACGAGGACCATTGTACTTGAGGCGAACTGAATTTATTTGAATGGACTTGGCTAGGATTCACAGCCTTTAGTTCGACGCGCTTTGTCTTCGATCTATTGGTCTTTACTGAGATGCAAAATATATGTTAGGAAAAACATGAGGATTGTTTTGCTTTTATCTTGGATGCTTTACGCAATCAGCTGCCTTAAATTAGACTGTACAAAAAGGGGCAAAATGAAGGAATTTCAAGTTAAAATTTTACAGTGTATATATATTTGACGCGGAAATGTGTCGACAGGGGTATTACTATTCGTACCATTTCGGATGTTCAGATTTCGGGTTCACCACAAAACTATTCAGCTGAAAACGAAAATAATCTAAAACAGGAAAAGTAATTGGACGATTTTTGTTCACTTCTGCTGCAAATATAGTTTTGTAAGCTATAACTGTCATTTACTTAAATTACAGTTCATTCAGGTTGGTCTCATATGACCGATGTTTATGACAATATCCGTCGTGCGAGTTATATTTTGTCACTGAGCAGTACAAAGGCCTCGGAATATAATATTAATTCTTTAATTTGCAAGAGGAAAATTAGAATACAGCTGGCCATATAAATACTAACTATTTTCTCCGGGGCTCGCCGATATGCAAAATACGGCCCATGGTTTGGAGATCTTAGCAGTGCACACTGCCACAGTATTTAAAAACGCAGTGAGATTTTATAGATTAACGCAGGTTATTGCCAATAGTACTGCTGATCAGGTGAAATGTTATATATCTGTATAGATAGTATACTATAATTCTTTTCTTTTGTTCACTTTTCTTGTAGTCAACTAAATTAAAATAATTATGTTTCTTTGTTGTCAACAGAGGAAGCAATGGGGACGGTTTTAGAAGATTCGACGTCCTACACCATTACAACTGTTCCAGGTGCGGAGTAAATTTTCTCTACAGATCAGTAAATAAAAGAATACGATCATTAGAAATTATTCTCTATATAGCTTTACGATATAAAAACAGCATAGCCTAGCTTCGCTAGGAGCAATGTATAATTATAGCGTTATATTAGTGTGTGTTAGGTTTGGGTTTGAAGTTTAGTCGAAAAGTTAACGCTCTTTTCGCTTCTTTCGGGCCATTTCGCGTTATTTTGGCATCGAGTAATTTAAGAGGTATACCTATAACGGATGTTTGTTTAGTTATCCTTCCTGTACCCACTGGAAATATGACAATTAACCCCTTTCTTGGTGGCTTGAAATTTAAGTCGAACCTCAGACCGTTAAGTACTGGCAGGCGACTAATAGGAAATTTCCCATTGAGCTGAAATAAAAAGTAAAAAGTCGTCAACTGATTATAATTTTCTATGACATGAGCCTCAACGAAACTGAGAGCATGAAATCTAATTTTTTATTTTTTTCTCAGGTTTGTTAATTTTAAGTCGAAAGTTTCTTTCCTGATCAAAGCATTGTCAGTATTGAATTGCGGTTGAGGAGCATTTGTTCATTCAACGTTTATAAGCATAGAACTTAGTGTAAAAATTGCTCTAATACTCTTAATTGAAAAGTTCGATTCTTGTTGATTGATATTTGTAAAATATTAAAAAAGCTAGTTTTTTTAAATCTTTTTATTCTGCCGTTTTATTTTATAATTTAGGTGTTTTGAATTAAATGTTTGTTTTGGTTAACTTGTATTTTGAGGCATTCTCGGTAACAGATTGACTCAAATTTATTTATACAAATCATGGATCTTTGGTTAGATACCATAGGGGTTTCCGCCGGATGTAAACAAGTTTTGTTTTTCACTCCTTGAAAATTTGTCAGGAAATATTTGAAAGCAATTCGAGAAAAGCTTTCATTTTCTATGCCATAAAATCAAGGGGAAAGAATTCAGTTCGCACCTCCATTTGCGCATCTTTCAATCGAGTTTATTCTTAACGGAATTCTTTAGAACTAAAAACCGTTATGAGTTGTTAAAGCGAGGTAATTTAACTCCGCAAATAAATTATTTCTGCGGCTTTACCTCCTGTTAAAGCAAACACATATCAACGCGGGGGTACTGGCGAGCTTATTGACAAACAAATCAGAAATTGAAACTTAGACAAAAACCTAGGCTAGTAACTAGGCTTCTTTACCTCGTGGCCAATTTGGGTCACGTGTTTCGTGATTAAACGTCGAACGGTCCGGTAGGAGGGAAACTTTTTGCAAGTGTCTTTTTCCCTGAGGGATTTAGCTTAATTTCAATGGAGATATAGAATTTTTACCGCAGAAACCCTTTAGTAAATGAAAGTTCTCGGAAGTCGTGATAAAATTTGTTCATACACAATTTATGTGAGGGAGTTACAAAGCAACACTTAATGAAAAAAAGATACCTATTTACTCTTGAAAGATCGAGTCATTAATAGTTCAGTTTCCTGAATGTTTTCTTTCATTTTAATTAAAGTGGCAATAGTAGAGTAATTCATGTGGCCCGGGTTGTTCAAACGTTGGATAGCGCTATCCATCGGATAAATCACAATCTACTGGATACGAATTAGGGAAACCAATTGTGCTATCCACTGGGTAGAGATTTATCCGGTGGATAGCGCTATCCGCCTTTTGAACAACTGGGGCCTGATGTATAAAAAAATGTGACCGCTTTAGTACACACGAATGTTTTAGGAGGCGAGCCTCTTGGAATGGAAAATGGTACAATCCCTGATGAAAACATTACTGCTTCTTCCTCTGCAAGCGCTGCTCCGCCACATCTTGGCCGTTTGAATGGCCCGGCATCCTGGTGCACTGGTAAGGCCGATGGCTGTTACTTACAGGTAAGATTAACGTCGATCGTGAAGTCTCATTACTCGCTTTCAAGCAATGCAGCATGTCCTCTTACGTCGGCCGATCAGGGGTTAAGTGAAGTGGTCATTTTTTTGTTCTGATTTTAGTGGACATTAAGGTTGCTTTGCTTTTTCTTGGCTTTGCATATGGTCTTTAGTGGTAAAGACCGCTTTTAGTTCTGTTTTTTCCATATAGTCTCACCTTGTCAAGGTCGTCTTTGCTTTCCATCAAAAGTTAAAGCAGGATTGTTATTTACAACTAGTAATATTTGACACTAAAGCTGCCCCCGCTTGTGTAGCTCTCCGAGATAAAGGCGGATTTTCACACACATCCCATGAATAGGTTAGTGAAAAGCAGGAAACGCAATATTCCATGCACTGATTCAACGTTAAAATCTGTTGAATGTTTTTGTAAAAAACAAATCGACAACTTTGAATGGTCTATACATTTGTCAACCATAGAAATAAAGTCAATATGTTCAAAACTTCGCAGAAAAACCACTTGCCTGCGACTGTTGGTTCCACTTGAGTTTTGTAAATTTCTTTAATCGAATATGGCATGAAGTTGTGTACCTTTGACGTCGGTAAAAAGTATTATCCCCATGGCTTGAAGGGCATCACACTTTCGCTAGCACCTTTTCCGTGCTTTGCTCCATTCTTAGATATCGATTGATGATCTCGGGGATGGGCAGAAAATATCCTGAGGCAAATTTAATTTTATTCCGACTTGTTTAATGGTGTATCTTCTTTTTAACACTATGTATTTACATGAATTTTTTTTTTGCGCTGATCGTGATTTTCATCTTGGTAGGTTGACCTTGGAAGCCTTCATTTGCTGTGCGCGGTTGCAACTCAGGGTAATCCAGGAGGAAACAGAGACTATGTAAAGCGTTACAAACTTCTGTACTCTACAGATAGTTCCAACTGGACAACGTATGAGGAGAACGGGAACAATGTAAGATGGACATATAGGACTGCGATCGACTGGGAAATCCGGATCTTCCGGATTTCACAGTCGAATCCAAAAAAACAATCTTATGCCGGTTTGGATCTGTTTATTCTAATCCATGCTAAAGAAGGATAAGAAAAAACTTTTACCGGGTCCAGTTGCATATAACGTAACGTCGAGCAAAACTGCTAACGTCTAGCTTTAAATAAAAGAGTTTGACCGCCCCATGTAATAGCCTCCCACGCAGGCGATTTAAGGGGAGCTCGTACTTCGAGGGACGAAATACGAGCTCCCCTAAAAAACGCCTGCGCCTACCCATGAAAGGGAATACATGGCAGTCTTGGATTCCGGATTCTATACTCTGGATTCCAGGGGGGGGGGGGGGGGGGGAGGGGTGGTGGTTGGGGAAATTAATGCCTGGGGGACTTAAAATCCCAAAGAACCCCTCCCCCCCCCCCCCAACTTTGTCTTCCGGGGTTTGGCGGGCTTGTTTCCCCAGTAAAAAGGAAAGCATTATAAAGTGCTTTGAAAATTTCCCTTTTAGGTCCGATAGGAGAGGAGTGGGGCGGAGCAGTACACCGGCCGCGCGCCGACCGCAGCTGCGCTGCCGCCCGCGGAGGCGGTGAGGGTGGGGGGGGGGGTTGGGTGGGGGGGTGGGGTGGGGGGGGGGGGGGGGGGGGGGGGGGGGGGGGGGGGGGGGGGGGGCGTGTGGGTTGGGTAACTAATGACTGAGGGACTTAAGATCACCAAGAACCCCTACCCCACCTCCCCTAATCTGTCCTTCCGGGTTGTGCGTGGCTGTTTTCCCAGTTAAAATGGAAGCATTATAAAGTGACTTGCAAAATTGCGCTTTTTTCCTCGTATTTTCTCAGCATATTTAGCGACTTGTAACTTTTAAATGAATAAGAAATGCAATTATGGATGCGTATTTATCTCCTGCGTTCTGTTAAATGTCACAAAAGAGTCGCTAAAAATGAGAAAATAGAGGTGCAGTTTTGGATGGCAGTTGGATGTCGATATACTATACACATATTTGTACTAAAACCATTATAAGGCCTTTCGACGGCTGAATTCGCAGGCTAAACGATCTCACTTTCATGCCTTCATCTTTCGCAGCCTTTTCCAGGTGTGGAGCGCGAAGTAAAGTGACAAAGAAAGGGTGGAAAAGTAGAGAGGGATCGCGCCCCATTTTTACTTCATTCCGCTCCCCACTTTCTGAACGCCTGGAACAGGTTATATCTTCCCTGATTCTAAATTCTTTTTCAAATTTCAATTTTACAATTATACAACAGTACAAGAAAAAATAAAACGCATAGCACAAAGCAAAGGAAGACACTCGACATTGCTGCTTTGATTTTGTCCCCTACAACTAGCCTTGTGAGTTTCTGATGACAAATCACGTGGCTAATATTCATAACAAACTGCATCTTCATACAAGGAATGCTAAATGTTTAAAGCTTAAGCCTATTGTTTCTGTTGTCATTTTAAAATACAATTGGATATGCATGCATGGAATAACTCAACATAAAACATCGATCACCACAACTAAAGTAGACAGGGATCACTGATTTTTGTCGTACTCCACTTTCCAGATCATCGCGGGAAACAAAGATAACGCCAGCGTGCAGAGAAAAGATCTTGAGCAAGAGCTTATCATTCGTTACGTGAGGTTCTGTCCTGTTGATTGGTACTGCTGGCCGTGCATGCGAGTGGAGCTGTACGGAGCTCCGTTGAACATTGGAGGTAAGAGGAAACGGCACGCGTTTGATTTTCCAGTCACCTCGGGTTAAGGTGCAGGGATCCCAGTTGCACTTGAAAGGCGAAGGACTAGATGAATTTTTAAAGTAAGGAAAATTGTTATAAGAACCCCTAGTGGTATCGAGCCGGTAAAGGTCCATTCTCGATCGACTCGTTTAATTTTCGATGATCAGAATATTATGATCAAACGTTTGAGCTACGAGCAGACATCTTGCCAGAAAGCAGTTTGAAAACTAACGTGGACATCTGAGTCCCGTTTTAACGCATGAAATTTTTGTGCAGTGTAGTTGCACTGTTTTTGTAATGAAATCATTGCTCAAGCGGTTGAGCTGTTTATTTCTTAGACTTGAAGGCCTCATTTCTCAGTGTTTTACTTCGGATACCTCTCAGCTGGGGCTTTGCGTCGGACAAAACGATCGATCTTTATAAGTGACTGGGTAATTTAAGCGATGCATGCTACATCGAGCTCACTAAGAAAGAAAAAAGTCGCTTGGACCGTGATGATTCGGACTGTTCTTCAACCCCTGTCATGTCCGTCAACAACACGAGTCGCTCGCCAGCAGTTGTTATACTTCTGTCTTTTCCTGCAAATGATATTTATACATATCACTTCGTATACAGCAGGTATAGCACGACCATTTTCCTCAAATTTAGTGTCTAAAATGATATTAACATTTGCATTAGTTGTTATTCAAATCACGTGTATATCGGCCAGGGTTTCTGGGGATTAAGAAGTACTTGTGTACTCTCTTGATGGTATTCATCACTAACTGTCAGAAATATACAAATTTAACTTCACAGCTAATTTACTTCTTCTATTATCTGTAACGGTGACAAAAAAAGGGAAAGAGTTATCGTGGCTGTTTGAATTTGCTTACCCACTCTAATCCGTGAGTAAATCTCAAGAGACGTACATTGGAGGTAGTTTAATTTGTTTTAATAGTAGTTGGTGACTGAAATTTCGACAATTATTTCTTCGTGCTGGGAGTATCTTCTTGAAATATTTTTCGTTAAGTAACTGTAACATTACCAGCGCATAGTCCATTGTGGAGACATGAGCTTTTTTTTCACACAAACAAAATTCTCAATGCAATCATTTGTGTTGTCACAAGCAATAAATGGTAATCAAAATTGTTTCTCCATTGTTCTAGTGAAGGGGTTCATTTGCATAAATAGAAGACGTTTGACTCGGTTATTGGTTTATTCACCTGAATGATGAATATTACTTTTATTTATTTCTCTTCAGAAAGATAAATGAAACATTTTATTGATATAGCATTTTACACCTTTGTTAAAAGGATCGATCAATTATATTATTGTTGAATGTATTATTTTCGTGAACTGGTCAATTTTAGTTGCGTTCGAAGCTGGAATTTTGAGACACAAACTAACGCGTCTAGAGTACAACTAATTGACCTTTTAGTAAATTTCGGGGCTTTGTTAAAATAAATGACCTGTACAAGGCCAACCTCATCGCATCATCTCTCAGTACCGCAACAGACAAAAACTAGATGGTACCGGAAAAAGAAAATCTGTGAACTCTTTTCGCTCGCAGCATTTCTTAGTGTTTGTACGCTGTACACTGATCTGCTAAGTTATTTGAAAAAGGGAAGACGAAAATGAACTTGTCCACTGAATCTATATATATTTCCTTAAGAGCTGCATACAACACCTTGCAATATAACAGAATATCGTTCACAAATGTCGTTTTATTGTAGTCCAGGTAACAGTAGAGATTATTCTGCCGAAATACATTTCAGAAGGTTATAGCAAACGACAAGATGCTGTCATGCAATTTAGAGCTACGCCCAGGTTTAATTTCCAATTGTTGCTCGTTGTACCTGTGGTATGGCACTGCTTTGGGCGCTTAAGATGCTTTAATCTAAATATCTGCCTTGACTGCTTATCCAATACTTTAAGGGGCGACCTAAAAGTGATGAGAACTATTCGTAGTTGGTTTAACCGATGTTTTGCTACCACTTCAGGGATTAAGTTAAATTAGAGTCATCTTTTATAGTCATCCACATGAAGCAAGTTTTTGGTGCTTTTTAGGTGGGTAGAATTTTCTGGCGAGCAACCCATCTTTATAGGAAATACCCCCATGGTAGGCTCGATTACCAGCCGCTGTTCGGGAAAATGAGCCCACACTCTTTCTCCTTTCGGGGAGGATCAAAGACCGGACCCGGGAGACGGCGGAAATCGAGCCTACCCCCACGGGAGATCGCCCCCCATTCCCTTCCTCACTTCCTTCTTTGTTTTATAGAAAAGATAGGTCATCTTGGATCAGACGAAGGAGGGGGATTTGTTATAGGTAAGTAAAGTAGCCAACAAAAAATGTTAGGGAGCTTGTCATAAGCAACCTCGACGGTGACCGCTACGAAAACATCACTTTAAAAGTGAATTTGCGCTGGCACAAACTTAATCGCACTTATTCCATCTCGTTTAATTCGTCGAATGTTGGCAAATTTTATTGGAAGTGAATTCTAAAGGACTGTATCAAAGTCCAGGGAAGGGAAAAGAAAGTTGTTGTCTTGTTGTCCCGTCCTCGACAAACCATGACATTAGGCACTTTCACGTTGTAGGTCGTGCAACGACGGCAGAGAAATGTACAAAAAAGCGTGGTGCACGTGTGGTTTTGCCAATCCAAACCAATTGCTTTTTTGCCGTTCTCGTTGCCGTCTCCGTCGTCGTTGCTTAAGCTCTCTAACAATAAGTGTTAGGGAGGCGTTTTTGATGTTAACGAATTTCCTCATCACCACTCTATTTTCCAGCATTAACGAATGTTTGCCCTCACTCTAAAAGAAATCTGTTTCTCTCAAAGATAAAGTCATGGTGACGACATATGAAACACAAGTTGATGAAAATGGCGAACCCGGTCTGAATGAAGAGGCAAACGCTTCAAAAAAGACAACTGAAGGCGAAGGTAATTGCTAATAATATTAATCTTCGGAGAATATTTTTTTATCTATTTTTGTATTTCAAGTTCCATTCCGAACAGTTGTTCTAGCAGTATGCAGGAACCTAGTAGTTTTTAAAATGACCTTAACTCGCACAAGTCTCTCAATAGGCTCGACTCACCTGTAAGGTGAACTCCAAATTTTTCCGAGTCGCCTGTGACACTGACTGCCGGATGAAACACTTAAAGGAAATTGTGTACTTTTCAGCCACAGTTTGCCAATTTTGTAACATTAAGCCTGGGTTTACTAAGCCGCGGTACTTGAAATCAAAAGCAGTTTATGGTAAGCGGATTCCAATACTACCATTACCCAACTCTGCCACTGCCAGAAATATTCATTCAGCTGGAATGGTCACGTGATCCGAACCGCCTTGGGCTGTTGCCTTTTGCAGCCTCCTCTACTCTTCTCCGCAGAGGTCTCTTTCTGCAACTAGGAAGTTGGGGAGAGGGAAGCCCAAAGCGCGGGGTGGGGTTGGGGTAGGTACTCACTATTTTTCATTATTGTCATATTTTTGGAATACTAGATGGAAACTTGGAAAACAAACAAAGTATGCGTACGGGCTGTTGAAGGATTGGGAAATCTGCACTAATTTGTCTTTTTTTTTTAACTGCATCCAAGGTCATGATTATATGGTTCACATATATACCGGCAATAAGTGGGGAGCTGGGACCGATGCAAATGTGATGATTACCATATTTGGAAAAGAAGGTGACTCTGGGGAGAGGAAGTTGGACAATGAGAAGAACAACTTTGAAACTGGACAGTAAGGCATCATATTTTCATTTTGATCGAGTTCCCTATCACAGTATCGCATCATCGCATCGATTTGAAAACTCTCTTGAAAGGGGATCAAAACGAAAACGCATACACCGACGCCGACGTGTGTTTGTAACATGCGCATAGAGTTCATCTTACGTCGCTACGCCCAATTCTATCGTTTTCGAACGTTTAAGTCTGGACAGTCGAAAACGCATCAAAACGGTAGTGTGGACGCGAATCGATCGATGCGTTTTCTATGACAACGAGAACCCTTTCTTTTTGGAACGGCATTAGAATGGACAGGGCCTGCCCTTCTTTTAAAGGCTTTTCAATTAAGGAAGCTGGGATAAACCATCATTCTTCATATTTTTACATTTGTCTCACTGTGTTTTTTAGGAAAGATTCCTTCCCAGTTAACTGCACAGGGTCCCTTGGGCGACTAACCAAGATCAGAATTGGACATGACAACACTGGTTTTGGTGCAGCATGGTTTTTAGACAAGGTAATTGGTGTGAATTTCACTTATATCGAAGTAACTCCTCGGAATTAACGTCATCTGTGCTGCCTCAGAATTTCAAACCTCTGTTTCTGAAAACGTCCGAAATTCAACAACAATAACTGTGTATGAACTATTTTACCTAGTCAGTCTAAGTGCTTATCGTTTCTAAATAGTTATGGTATCCGGGGTACTTATAATAACTAGTTTTATATCACATTGTGCCTTGGACAGTTCAGATTACTTTGCTCGTCTCTGTTTAAGACGTGGTATTAAGATTAAACCATTTCACTTTTTTATACTACCTTTTTACAATCAGTTTGTAACGTCCTGTTTTTTTTTTTTTAGGTGATTGTCGAAGATCTCAAGTCAGGAGAGACAGTTGAATTTCCATGCCAACGATGGTTTTCTACAAATGATGATGATGGGCAGATAACACGTGAATTAACTAGAGCAGATGGAAACGATGCCGAGATGACGGGTACTAGAATATGAGAAAGAGAGTATTATCATTAATTTGATCTTATAGGGAAATTTGCTATTTGCTGCGAAAAGTAACTTTGCGATTTCTTCGTTTTATATTCGTGGGGGAATTCGGACGCACGAGAGCGAGAGGGTCCCCTCCTCGCGTGCCTCTCTCGCGCCCGAATTCCTCCTTACCTTTCCCTTTTTAGAGGCCCGTCACGCAGGCTATTTTTATTCCTTCACTTTGTAATTGTTCAAGATCTAGGATGACAAGGCGCGCTAAGTGGGCACAATTAACGTTTGGAGACCAGTCCCACAGGCGTTCTCTCTTCTCTACTTCACTTTAATTTTTTTTTAAAATTCCCTGTCCACTATGATTTTTGTGCCGTTCCCACTGGAACAGCCTGGAACTTGATTATGGCTCACCTACACGCAGTTGTTCACGCAGTTGTTTTGCCACCCTTATTGCGCTGGCTACATGCATCTCTGTGAGTTCTAAGAGTTCATTGGACTGAAACAGCCACAGTGACTTACTAGGGTTTAAGACGGTTATTCGAAATACTTACTGACCAGTAAGTCATACATTTGGATCCTCATGATATATCGTTAAACCGGACTTTTTTAGATCACGATTACCTCGTTCACATCTACACTGGTGACAAGTGGGGAGCTGGGACCGATGCTAACGTCATGATTACCATATTTGGAGAAGATGGTGACTCTGGCGAGAGGAGGTTGGACAACAACAAGAACAACTTTGAAACTGGACAGTAAGGAATCATTGTCTGTGTTCTTTAACAAGGTTTCTTCTGTGAGAATATGAGTTACTTGTAAAAATATTGTAAATAAAAGTGCCCTTTTTCATCATTATAGTAATTAGTCAGGAAATGAAACTTACGGCATTGAATCAGTTTGCTGATTTCCTTGCAACACTAAAAATGTTAAACACCCAAGACTTCTTTTGTAAAGTTAATTAATTATTTTCATTGATACACTCATTTACATTATAATATTTCTTTTTAGGAAAGATTCCTTTACACTGACTTGTGCAACGTCCCTTGGGCGACTGACCAAGGTCAGAATTGGACATGACAACACCGGTTTTGGTGCAGCGTGGTTTTTAGACAAGGTTAGTCCCGTGGTTTTTATTTGTATAGGTAATAGCATGAGTTGTAGTGATATTTGGTATAAATACCACAAGTGATATTTTCCAAAATTGTTATACGTAATTTCACGAGCCGTTAGGCGCGTGAAATTTGAGACAATTTTGAAATATCACGAGTGGTATTTATGCCAAATATCACATACAAATAATGCTATTATTTGTTTATACTACTACCCGCAAAAGGTTTGTAATTTTCACAAGTAGGTGTTTCAAATTAAGCTGAAATACCACTGCTCTAATCCAATCAAATTGCAGTAATTTCTCATGTAGTAGTATAAAAAGTGTAAAATCATTATTAGAGACCTTTGGTGAGAAACGTAAGTGACGTCTTTTTCGAATTTGTGGCATGTTGAGTAAGAAGTAAACCGTATCTTATCATAGACTACACGAAAACTCTTAGGGTTGTCGCTCTGGTGAACGTGTTATCTGTTCCTTCTCTGCTCGCTCGCGTCCTACAATCTCCTGTCCATCACAGATGGAAAGCAAGGGTGGTGCAGTCGCGGTGGTGAGAGCACTCTCCTCCCACCTATGTGGCCCAGGTTCGATCCTGGCGTTGACGCCTATGTGGGTTGAGTTTGTTGTTGGTTCTCTCCTTTGCTGCAAGAGGTTTTCCTGCGGGTACTCCGATCCCCCCCCCCCCCCCCCCCCCCCCCCCCCCCCCCCCCCCCCCCCCCACCCCCCCCCCCCCCCTCCCCCCCCCACCCCCCCACCCACCTCCCCCCCACAACCCCTCCTCCCTCTATCCGCCATACACAACAAATCACTGCTAAGTACTCGCATCGACAGACAAGTGGTCGTTGACGAGACGTCGGGGGGGTGAGAGCACTCTTCTACACCCTACGTGGCCCAGGTTTGAACCTGGCGGTGACGCCTAAGTGGGGTGAGGTTTTTGTTGGTTCTCCCCTTTGCTCCAAGGGGTTTTCCCGCGGGTACTCCGATCCCCCCCCCCCCCGCCCCCCACTCCCTTCAAAAACCGAAACTTCTTAATTCCAGCTCGATTTGAAACTCACGGCCACGTTTAAACGTATGCTTAAGAACTCTTTAGTGCTTCATGGGTAAACGAATTACAATGATTCATGTGTAATACAGCGATTCTTTAACATCGACACAGAATTCTGACAAGAAAACTAATTCCTCGCTTTTCTCTATCCTAGATATGTAAAAAACGGAGTAGAACTTTTTAAATGGTCTCGCAATGATTCCGCTACTTGTTGCTATTTCAAATAAAGATATATACAGCTCTAACGCTCTTTTTTCTCATGTGTTTGAAAAGGTCTTTTTTGAATCAGGATCATCAAAAACTCCTCCAGTCTTTACAATATTAAGTTGTATCGCATGTATCTAAAGTCGCAAATTTTTTAACAGTTTACGAACTGTTAATCCAAGTGAAAATTTCAGATAAGGAAACTGCGTCGTGAAACTCTTTGTCCTGGTATTTTTCATGTTAAATATTTTTCCAGTTAATGAAGGAAACTTTTTTTGCAGGTTGCTGTTGAAGATCCCAAGACAGGAGAAACCGTTGAATTCCCATGCCAGCGGTGGTTTTCCATAAGAGATGATGATGGACAGATTACTCGTGAATTGATCAGAGCAGATGTGCTAGTCGTAGATGATGGGAAGACATCTCCTGTTACAGGTAAAAATACGAAAGCAAAAATGAAGCGATTCACCTTATCCTAAGGTACCTCTACCGTTCGAACATGTACATACATACGTCTTGTATAAGGGAACAGCACTGTGACGTTTTTCCATTCATTATTAGGTCATGATTACATCGCTCACATATATACTGGTGATAAGTGGGGAGCTGGGACCGATGCTAATGTCATGATTACCATATTTGGAGAAGAAGGTGACTCAGGCCAGAGGAGATTGGACAATGACAGCAACAACTTTGAAAATGGACAGTAAGAAATCACATTTTTTATTATGATTAACTGGTACAGCAGTTTGATAATTTGACATTATTGATCAATAAGCCATCCTATTTCTTTCTCTTCCTTGTTATAAATTGTATAAAACACCTAGCATTGTTACAAAGGTCAATCTCTTTGAACATATTAAAAAAATAAAAACAACTTAAATGGATTAAGTCTGTTTATTTATTTTCTCTTTCAGAAAAGATTCTTTCACAGTGTCATGTGCAACGTCTCTTGGGCGACTAACCAAGATCAAAATTGGACATGACAACACCGGTTTCGGCGCAGCATGGTTTTTAGACAAGGTAGAATTTTAACACACCTTTCGTAGATAGAGGAACATTATCTGTAGTAGTTTGTGCAAACTGCAAGTGCGAGATGCCAAGACACTTAAGTATAACGAATGCTTGTCCATGTTTTTCTTAGATGGACAATGCGTCTTCTAGCTTCTTATGTATAAGATTATCCAAGCGAGGAAGGACTTTTCATAAGTGCTTGTGTACCTTTCGTGTAGGTTGTTATCGAAGATTCTAAGACAGGAGAAACAGCTGAATTTCCATGCCAGAGATGGTTTGCCACAAGTGAAGATGATGGAAAGATAATTCGTGATTTGATTAGGCCAGGAGAAGAAGTCAAAGACGACGAAAGAACTGCTGTTCCAGGTAAATGCAATGCAGTGCAATGAATCAAATTGTTAAATGAAATGTAATATGGAAGTGTGAGAGAACAGAATGAATTTCGATGTAAGCCAAAAACTCATTTGCCATTTTATGCCTATTTAAGCCAATACAACTGCAACGAGAAACATTTGCTCTTGAAAAATTATCGGATACTGTACTCTCTTCGCTCGTTGAAGGTAACTCGCCATAACAAGGTATGTTAGACTCCTTCTGTTCGAAATCGCGTGTAGTGCCAATCGCAACACGTTAAGCTTATTTTCTCGAACGTTGTTTTTCACATATGCCGATCATATTGCTAAAATAAGGAAAATCTATGGTCCTGACCCACTTGCATTGAATTCGGCATAATATGAAATGCAAGGTTTGAACAGGGCCTAACGCTGATTACATTTTGAGTGTCTGAAAATTCTAGTATGTTCTACCTAAGAAGCTTTTGTTTTCGGTAGTCTGATATTAACAAAATTATCTTCGTTTATAGGCCAGCAAACTGTAGTTTTGAAAATACGAGACGTGGGACAAGTTGAACCACAGCCAGACCAGGATGGATCCTCTGGCAAAGAGCAGGAGAATGTCCCAACCGATATAACTTATGAGAAAGGTAGATTTGGCGAAAGTATGCTGTGCCAGGCTCTTAGATAATAGGGAAATCGCGAAAATAAAATAGACCTCACCAAGCGAAAATAAAACAGACCAAGCGAAAATAACACGCGCAAGATCTTGGGAAGGGGGCGGCGGCGTGTAAACAAGAAAAATACGCGTCTCGCTCCCCATCTCCCGCGCGTTTTTTCGCATCACTTTCCACGACTTCTGTTCACTTCTATCTTAGAGCCTGGAGCTGGCTATGGCAAAAGGAAAACACAGTCCATTGTATTAGCCACCCTTAAGGAGAGCCAAGAGCGAGAGTTTGAAAGAATGATAGTTGAACGGTACTTTTTTCTTGAAACTAGTAGGAACAATGGATACAGTAGGCGTTGAACGCGTTGAACTAGCACGGTCGCAATTCAAACATCATACTTCTTTTTCCCATCTATTTACTTAACGTTTTTGCATTTCTTTGTTTATTAGTCTTGGGTTTTGGTATACAAGCGTAAGGTGATGAGTTTCAGTCAGTCCACCTTGATGTCGATGAGGCAAAGCATCTCGTTATGCCTTCAGCTTAAGTTATCTTGGAATCTAATAACAAACTGTTTAGTGATTTTAGAGTAAACTACAGAAAAAAAGTCAACGGACTGCAAAACTCTCGAAACGTTCTAGTCTATCTCTCGTCGACAGGCGTAGAAAGCTAGCTAACTTAATCAGCAAATCTCGATATAATTTCGGTCTTGTTTTGTCATGGCTCTTCATGAAATACCCTTGTTGTGTTCACACCTTGTTTACCTTGTATTTCGCCTTGTCAGACGCCAGTTAGCCGTGTTCGAGTACCGTGCCCTGGCACCCAGTGTGAACGCTGCTCAAGCTGGCTGTCCACATTTGGTGCCCAAGCACAAGTGCCTGGGAACTATCTGGAGCGGGTGTACTTGAAATAAGGGTGTGTTCACGTTAGTGCTCAGTGAATACCGTTCTCTGGCACCGTATTCAGGCACAAAGTGTGAACCCTAAATAATGCTACTCTCGCGTATTCCAATTTGCAGTATAGTACTAAAAGCCTTTATTCAACCTTTATTCAAAAATTTGTAGTCCTGCAACGGGATTGCCATCACGCAAGACGCCTAACTAAATAAAGCTCCTTGCTTTACTCCTCCCAAACATCCATTGTTATGGAAGGGTTTGCATTTTTGCTTGTTCATGCCACTGATGTTGGTCATCCACATATACAATAAAAATTTGCCTTTGTTTCATAGAGGAAGTTGTGGTGAAAACAGACGAGATACAGATTAAACCAGCACCAAAACAAGAAGAACCGACAGTGACGGAACAGGAAAATTTGCCGCAAGAAATAGTCATCGATAAAGGTGATTTTTAGCTGCATAAAGTAACTCGCTATTTAAGCTTCCTGCTTTATTCCACCCAAACATCGATTATTAGAAGATTTTTATTTTTGCTTGTTGCCGCTGCCTTTGGTCATCCACTTGTGCAATAAAAAATTGCCTTCTTTCTTACAGAGGAAGTGTTGGTGAAAACAGACGAGATAAAGATTGAATCACCGCCAGAACAAGAAGAACCGAAGGTAAAGGAAGAAGAAAATTTGCCGCCAGTAATCATCATCAATAAAGGTAAATTTTCGCTGCAGAAAGTTATCACGAAAGCTCCCTGCTTTATTCCACCCAAACATCCATTGTTCAGGAAGGGTTGTAATTTTTGCTTGTTGCCACTGATTTTGGTCATCCACACATGCATGAAAAATTTGCCTTTATTTTTACTGTAACAGAGGAAGTTGTGGTGAAAACAGACGAGATACAGATTGAAGCACCACCAGAAAAAGAGGAACCGACGGCGGTAAAGGAAGAGGAAAATTTGCCACAAGAAATTATCATCGATAAAGGTAATTTTTAGCTACAAAAAGTATCATCAGTGTGATAAAGAAATCTGAACAAGCCAACACAAGCGACAGCTCTTGTCGCGTGAAACCCTGTATAGGTAACCGATTTGTCATTTTAACAGATGTATTTACCCTTGTTAAAATACCACAAGTTTTTATGTTTGAGAAAACAAAAAGAATATTTTCGAAAAGCAAGAGAAAATAGCAAGGGCCTGGGGATGCTTATGGTTTCTCCATCCTTTGATTATTTCAAATCGTTAGAATCTGATTGCCATAACATAACTTTTAACCTTGAATGTAAAAAGGAGAAAAATGTGTAAAGGTCGAGGGTACAGATTACCACTAGTATTAAGATTTCTCAGACGCAAAAGGTATTTGAATGAGAACATCTTGCCAGAAAAATGGAAAAGAAAATCTCTCACTCTTCCAATATGGGATGGTGATTCTAACGTGGTCGAAAGAGAAAATACAGTCTTACTGTATATAAGACGTAAAGGCAAATGCACGTTCTAGTAATGTCTAAAAGCGAACAACACCTCTAATTCATTTGTTAAATGCATTCACTTTAGGTCACGATTACTTGGTTCACATATACACTGGTGACAAGTGGGGAGCTGGGACCGATGCTAACGTCATGATTACCATATTTGGAGAAGATGGTGACTCTGGCGAGAGAAAGTTGGACAACAACAAGAACAACTTTGAAACTGGACAGTAAGGGATTACTTTTTAATCTTAATTTATGCTTTAGACAACAAAATTTGTGTTTTCTTTACACACTTCTCGGAACAAATGTATGCAAAGAGGAATGCCAATTGTAAATAGTTACTCGATCGAAACCACTCGCCCCGAATAGAACTTTCGTTCCTTTTTGGAATTACTTTAAATTTTGGTTAGCACCTTAACTAAACATCAGTTATCTGCGTAAATCCGTGTTCTCTCTAAGAAGGTAGCAAATGCCGTGGAATGGAACAGTATTGGTTCAAGCCTCGTCAATGCAGTGCAGTGGCTAAAAAGCTGATAAAGTGCTTTGTTAAATGTCAATTTTGTTAGCCTTTTTGACATTGAGCGTGCGCAACATTCAACAGCATTCCGACCAAAATTCCGACCAACCTCGTAGGGTGGGTAGGAGAGAACCCTGGGAACGAGGTTGCATTTCGACCATTTGGACCAACTGACCAATAGAAAGGTCCTCTTAACTTACTTAGTCATAATTTGTAAACGAAAAGCAAAGATTGTGCCAGATCAGGGAGGTTTCCGAACATAAAGTGCAGCGCTGTCGTTTTCATCTTTGCTCTTTGCAGGTTTTCATAACCAGTCTGCTCTACTAACTATGGGGTAGAACTAACATGTGCTTATTTCCATTTCAAGTACTCCGAACTTAGCGGACAGGTAGTCCACCAGGACGTTCTTGTAAGAGGTTAATGCTCATGCGCTTCTTGTATTACCCCTTGCAGAGTAATGCGGAGTAATGTTTCATATAAGTCTGTTCGGATCTAAATGTTGTTACTTGGCGTTACAATAAGAAAGAGGAATTCCGTAGTTATTTTCTAACAGCTAAATTTATTAGTCTTATCGTCGGTGACTTATCCACCTTTATTTGTTTTTTCGCAGAAAAGACTCATTCACACTGAGTTGTGCAACGCATCTTGGGCGCTTAAACAAGATCAGAATTGGACATGACAATACTGGTTTTGGTGCAGCATGGTTTTTAGACAAGGCAAGTTGCCTGGATATTCCTAATATTCTTGGATCCTTTATTTACTAAATACCTCTCTCCTTTTATTTGTTTACTTATTTACTTTCCATACCGTTGTACCTTACAGGTAACTGTTGAGGACCCTAAGACAGGAGAGACAGTTGAATTTCCCTGCCAGAGATGGTTTTCTACAAGTGAAGATGATGGACAGATAACACGTGAATTAACTAGAACAGGTAAAATATGTTGAATTGAATGCTTATAATTAAAAAGAACTGGAAATATCTCTACGCTATCCCTCAGTTCATTGTGAAGAATGCTGCACAAAGTTTGTGCGAAAATGTAATTTGGCGAAAGGGCATTTGTGGAACCTTTTTTGCGATCGTTAAAACGTGTTTTTGCTTTTGGAATAATTTTAGCAATTTTTAAAACTGACAACTGTTGGAGATGATTCAAATACATAACTGAAAGCCAACTATTCAATTAAAGTTGCATGTTCAGAAAACAATCAATTAAACAAACAAACCAACCGGGAAACGTACTTTTTGAATACCGTTTATACACTGCATGATATCTCTAAATAAGCATCTCTTCATGGCTTCATTCTCTTGGGTCTATAATTAAACTGTTGAATCTAGCGTAAAATCCAAAAAAAATGGAAACTGATTGCAGAATGCTCGAAACTGTCAAGTCTATCTCTAGTCGACAGGCTTAGAACGAAAGCTAGCTTAATTAGCAATCTCGATATAATTTCGGTCTTTTTTTTTCCCCTGGCTCTTAATAAAGTACCTTTGTCTTGTAGAAAAAGTGTTGGAGCCAACCGAGGAGGCACAAGTTGAAATGCAACCAGACAAAGACGAACCCTCTGAAGAAGCACAGGAGAGTATTCCTGAAGAAGTAACCATTGAGAAAGGTAAATTTTAGAAACAAGAGAGCGACATCTAAGGGACCGTTCACACTGGTTGCCCGAGACTTGGTTTCTTGGTATCGTTGTTGGGTTTACACCTTGTTTACCTTATATGTAACTGAGTAGACATTTGCTGCATGTATCCTTGTCAGAAGCCATTTTAAAACGTCAGAGTAACTGCGAGTACAAAGCAATGGATTGTCTTAGGACTAACAGAAACTATTTGAAAAGTAGGGTGAAAATAGGGTGTGTTCACATTAGTGCCCACCGAGCACCGTGCTCTGGCACCGAGTGAACGCAATGTGAACGCTGCCCAAGGGGCCTGTCCACACTTGGTGCCGGAGCACAAAACCCAGGGAAATGGTACGAAATGGTGTTGTGTTCGCACCTTGAGTAACCGACAGGTTACTGTGTGCATTTTTCTTCATTTCGCTCGGTCAAAAGCTATTTTGAAAAGTGAATTCAGCAGGGGAGTGCTGAGCAGTGGATTTCCTCCCAACTAACAGAAAACATGTGCACAACGCTTACTCGGGCACCGGCACCGTTACAGAATTCTTGAGTGAGTATTTGTTCACATAAGTGACCACCGTGTGAGTACCATTCTCTGGTACCGTGTCTAGGCACTCAGTGGGACTATAACTCAAAGCTTTTTTCGTGTATTCGATTGAGCAGTATCCTGTACTAACAGCAAAACTCCTTGCTTTATTCCTTTAAACATCGAGTATATTAGAAAGGTTCCAAGCATTGGTTTTGTTTACACTGATTTTGGTCATTCATATATGCAACAAAAACGTAACTTCTTTGTATAGAGGTCATTTTGGTAATAAAAGA